AACCAAACTTTATTGGTTTCTTTTGCAATTCGTTTTGGGGTAAAACGCTATCCCTCCCACCCTACGCATACGCGACGTCATAGGTTGCACGCGATGGTGCCGCGTCAGCTAAGTCACATGACACAAACCGACAAACCTGACTTCTTTTAATACATTTTTCATTGTGTGGGGTATGTCCTCGCGAATACAATGTTTTGAGAAGGATTTGAAGACAAATTTAGTTTGATTATGCTTTTAGTCCAAATATATCATCAGATCACCCAGTTTGTACCGTGGAAGGTATCTTTAATGTGTCTTAAAGTGTTATTTTCTAATATAAAAGTAACAATTATCATCGTGATAAATATAATACATGTAGATAGGTTTTTATTGACGCTAGGAATATTTTTGCTAACTTCATTTCGAATCCGGATGCTGGAATATGGGTGAGAGATACCGCTCGGTTGTTAAGGTCATATTTTTATACTAACTATCTACATGTACATTATCTTGATAATTTAATAATTCATTTAGAACTATGTCAATTTGGCTTTGAAATATCCAAAGAAAGGGGGGCACCTGCCTAGTCTATTTGATCATTATACATGTATGTACAAGGTTATACTTCATATTTTCATTTCATTGTTATATTTTCATTGTATCATCCCGATGGTACATGTATATATCTCATTATATTGTCATTTCTTTATATCATGTTATTCCAATATATTATTTCATGTAAAATATATTTTTGTTTACATGTATATTGATGTATGCGTATGTTTTTTTTATAATGTTCTTAATGGACGTAATATGCAGATAAAAAAAAGTTGAAAGTGTAGGCTAATATATGCAAAGTGGTTCTGTATTTACGGAGCCAACGAGTATATCCTGCTGTACATTTTGTAAATGTATGATTGTCAAAGACTCTGATGGAACTTGTAAAAATTCCTTTAAAAATCCCTTTTGAATGCTGTCAACGAATTTTTTTTATTGTTATACCATTGTAATTAATTTTGAAGTGTTATTTTCTTTTACATTTTATAGCTTTTTTCGTGTTGTCACTTAAAAATTGGGTATTGGGTATTGGGTAGTGAAAAATTAATAAAAGTTTAATTAGTGTTATTTTTTTGTTTACATTTTAGAGCTTTTTTCGTGTTGTCACTTAAAAATTGGGTATTGAGTTTTCGTGAAAAATTAATAAAAGTTTAATAAATACATTTTTCACTTTAGTTCACACAGCCAGCTTCATTCTGACCTTTATTTCATAGATATTGAAAGAAAACTATAGCAGGTAGGATAAAATTGAAATAACGTCGGCGGCCATATTTGATGACGTCATATGGGAATAGCCTACCACGTGGTGAGTGTCCACCCAAGTCCAAAATACTGACTAAGCTACCTACTAAACATTTCTTCAAAGAAATTATCCCTACTCAAACTTTCCTATAGAACCATAGTCAGATCCAGGATTAATAGTATTAATACCTGTAAAATGATAAACCAATTAATTTAGCTTTGAACTTTCTGGATTTGCCCCACTCTCTGGAATTGCGTTCCTGGTGTTATAAGCTTTCCAAAAATATATAGTTTGTTTAGTAGGAATAATCCTGTCCTATCCTAAGTATCATATGTGTAATTTTATGTCAACTTCACAATTGTTAGTATAAATAGAGCATTTAATTGACAATTATTACAATTTTCATCTGGCCCTAAATCGATTTATTGCAAACATTTTGCTTGGAACACTCTGGATTTGTGTTCCTGGTATTATAAGCTTGTTTTGTATAGTTTGTTTAGTAGGGAGGACCCACACTGATCAGCAGTGAATATTCGCTAGGCTGCTGCAATCACTGATAAGGATGACATCGATGCGACTTAATGAACCACATATATTAACTTTTTTTCCTCCGACAAACTTAATTCTAAAACATTTTCTTTTATGTATTAGAAGCATAAATAAAGACGCTTGTAGATAAAAAAAATATTTCCTATTTAGTGTAAATGGGTATTAAAATGAGTAAAAGACACCATTCTGCCCGAACCAGTAACGCCTTGAGTCATTATTGACGTCAAGTGTTGAAGGTAGTCATCTTTTACAGAGATATTAGAAGACTTTCGTTCGTAATCCACTGTGAAACAGATTGGGGAGGACCTTGTAGCGGAATTTAGTTTCTAAGCAAGCTAGAAATTTTGGCTGCAGACCTACTAGACTATACGACAAGAGTTACCGTACATATAGTCTTCAATGTAAAAACAGAACACATTACCATTTCTGAACGAACAGGAGAACTTAAATTATCATAAATAATTCTCAATGCGGCTAAAAATGGTGCAAAGGCATAGGAGATGAAATTAAAATGCCTCACTATTTTAGTGGAATGTCTTGTGATCTGTGAGATCCAGTATAATCAATTCCATATGCCCCATTGTATTGTTTATGGGGTGGGGGTGGAGGGTCGGGTAAGCCAGATATATTCTCTAAAGAATGTGTCATTGTTAGGATTTTCATTAACAGCATTTTCAGCATTCCTTTTTGAGATTTTATTCAAGTTCGGTGACTCTGCAAACCTTATAAGGGAGATATTATAAGCTATATCAAACAGAAAATTGACGATTTTCTAAAAAAAAATCATTCATTTTTACGAAAATTCTGGCAACCATTTTGAATTTTCACCGTCTTGGATTTTTCAAACTCTTTGATTAGGTTAATTGTAAGTTCAGCAACACTGAGAACCGTTTCAATTGGATAGTACATGTCATATCAAACAATGAAATTGGCCATTTTAGGAAATTTGGTCGTCATTTCGAATTTCCGCCATCTCATATTAAGATTATTTTTTATGACCAATGTTTCTGATATCTTGTAAATCACTTTAGTTGACCAAATAGATAATTTGACTTATATGGGTCTGAACAAGATTTGTTAGTAAACTTACGAACAAACATGAAAAAAAAATCGAAAATGTTGCTTTTTTTTTTAGATTAATCTTTTATTTTAAAACTGATAGTATTGATTAAACAACATATATCGTATACCATTAACAGATAATATCATATACCAGCAGATGTAGAATTATATTATGAATATTTTGAGCCATACTACATATCCATACGTTGGTTCATTTCATTATACGTGTTGGTGTAGATCAGTAAGACATTAAACTTCCAGTATTATTTAGTTTTGGCCATATCTGTTTTAGTGAGAATACTAAATATTTATAGATGCTTTGTTTCAGTTTAAATATTTGTTAGAACTTTAGCCTTAAATCCCATCTGAAAACAGGTTTACAGATATTATAGTAGAAATCATTTTTTGGGCTGTGTGTGTGGGGGGGGGGGAGGCTTATATAGGCCGTTGTCTGTTGTTTAATCCTCTTTAGTTTATGGAATTGATTGTTTAAACTAAATACTGTTATCAATAATTATTGATATTTTCCATAAAGTGGTTTTACCGTTACTGAATATAGCCATTTGATACCGTAGTAGAAATGTTGCATCAATTAATATATTCCAGACGAAAAAATTTGTTATTAAACCGACCCAATAAAAAATGGAAACCAGTATTACTAAACCAACGTACAGATGTTGCTTTTTTTTTTAGATTAATCGTTTATTTTAAAACTGATAGTATTGATTAAACAACATATATCGTATACCATTAACAGATAATATCATATACCAGCAGATGTAGAATTATATTATGAATATTTTGAGCCATACTACATATCCATACGTTGGTTCATTTCATTATACGTTTGGTGTAGATCAGTAAGACATTAAACTTCCAGTATTATTTAGTTTTGGCCATATCTGTTTTAGTGAGAATACTAAATATTTATAGATGCTTTGTTTCAGTTTAAATATTTGTTAGAACTTTAGCCTTAAATCCTATCTGAAAACAGGTTTACAGATATTATAGTAGAAATCATTTTTTGGGCTGTGTGTGTGTGGGGGGGGGGGAGGCTTATATAGGCCGTTGTCTGTTGTTAAATCCTCTTTAGTTTATGGAATTGATTGTTTAAACTAAATACTGTTATCAATAATTATTGATATTTTCCATAAAGTGGTTTTACCGTTACTGAATATAGCCATTTGATACCGTAGTAGAAATGTTGCATCAATTAATATATTCCAGACGAAAAAAATTGTCATTAAACCGACCCAATAAAAAATGGAAACCAGTATTACTAAACCAACGTACGGAGGCGTGGGAACTTTAAATTCTAGGTAGGGACCACCTGTAAAATCCCAGCCGCCCGGGTTCACGCACCACTGCCAATATAACATACGACGTTTACAAACTTTCGTAAATCAACTCCTGAATCAACATTTAGCGGGTTTTTTTTTTAAAAAATACATTGAAGGACAACTATGAAAATGTATGCACTTTCTAATGTTTAGCATATCATCGATTAAAAAAGGAAAGATCAGAAAAAACGACGCGTTTGATATTCAATCAAACTGATTCCTAAAAATGCAACGCTGGCTCGCTAGCCTGGAGGTCTCGGGCTTACTCCCGGCGTTGGCCGAGAAAGTTCATCGTGATTTTCCGGCGTGGTTTCTTCTTGTCAGAGGTGCAGGGCGGGGGTCCTGAGAAGGACAGCTGTCTAGTCGTTCGGATGGAACCAAAAATATAGGTGCCGCGTGCATGTGCACGTAAAAGATCCCTTGGCTGTTGGAATTCGATATAAGAGTAGGCAAAATTTCCCTCCTAGCACACTGAATGACGTATGCCCCTCTTCATTAGCTCAGTCGGGGAAGAACAGTAGGACGTAAATAGTAATGAAATTTTTAATGTTTGTGATTTGGGATGAATGTGCATGAAATCCTCCAATAAAGGAGAAATGATATCACGTGTTTCAGAAATAGGAACTATACGCCATGCTTTTTGCACTACACCCAATATGTTTCATTTTGATTTTGAGAAGAATGATTTTAATTTTTGACATTTTGCGGCTAGCCTATCATTTCTGACCTTGACTTTTGTAAATGATTTATTATTGTTTTGCTTTTTTCAGCAATGGTTCGATTGATAAAAACATGGAAACGTTTTGCTATGATTTTGATTCTATATATTCTGGTGCAATACATGCGCTTACTAAATTGGCCCTTACAAGATATTAAGAATGGCTTAGTAACAGAAGAAAGCTTTCGGTTTATGGCGAAAGCAAATCCTAAAACTAAAGTGGGAACAGTAACAACTTCAACTTCAACAACAAAAAGAACAAAAGCAAAATCAATGACAACAACACCAATTATAAATATTGTGCGAATTTCGGGCATAATTCATAAATATTTCAAAGTTGGCGTTTTTAGTTCAGAAAAATTAAGCTTAAATTATTTATCACCTAACTACTACAGTTCACAATATCAAAATTTACTCAAAGAAAAACAAATAGAATTCAGATATAAGGACTTCAGATTAGTTGAACCCCATTTCTCAACTGAAGAGGATCGGTTGCTTTTTCTAAATAACAGTATTTATGTTAAAGATCTCGAAGTCATTCCGGCAGTGCGATTACGCGGAATAGTTGCGGTTCAGGAAAATGCAATAGCGTATGATAGACTCGATTGTGGCTGGAAAAATAATTTAACAGACTACGAGTATACAAACAATTCTGGAGAAAATAATGTGAATAATTACTTCAATGGAACTTTGTGCCCACTTCTCATTCCAGACAGTTTTGCCTTTCAGCATTTCATCGACGGTGTTCTACCCAAATTAATGCAGGTTTATGATTATGTTGTCAATAGTAACGTGTATTTTCTCATCTATAAACCACGTGACAGTTTAATTTATGATTTTTATGACAAGTTGGGTATTTCACGTGATAGGTTACTATTTTATGACAAGAAACCAATGAAAGTAAAAAGAATGATTAATACGTGTATAGCCCCGCCCATACATCCTACACTGTGGTTATCTGGTAGAGAAGCATTAGGGCTTTCGGCCGATAGGCTGGTACCTATGAATCAAACGTTAGTTGTATTTATTAGACGTATTAACACACATAATGGTGGTAGAAAGATATTGAACAGTGATCAAGTTGAGAAAGTTTTGAACCATCGATACGGAAATAATGGTGTGCGAATATTTTCAGGGGGGGTGAATTTTAAGGAGACCGTGTCCTTGTTTCAAAGGGCACGAATCATCATTGGTGTACATGGTGGAGCTTTGTATAATATAATATTTGCTCCTCAGCAAACTAGTGTAATTGAAATCATGCCAACATTAGACAATGGTCAAATCCAACCGGGAAGGTTAGCACATGAGATAATCTGGTTTCAAGCCCAATTTCTTGGACAATCATACTGGAGGTTGCCGATCCAACCTGAACTAAATAAAGTAGGGTATAATGTTAATGTAGATATAGGTCGGCTAGAAGTGCTATTAAATAAAGTAGATACAGCTTACAGAGCATAGATACAAACTTGGCAGGCTTCGTCTTTCCAGAACGTAATTCCATTTTGCATTGAGTGGAATACATGGGAAATGTTTAATGAATATCTTCGGGAGTTTCGTCCCCGGGCCATTATACGGCCTTCATAACTTTGTTAATTTCAAATTTAATTACGGTGGTTGACATAGAACAATATTTGGCTACCTCGACTAGGCTGTTTTAACGCTTTTATATTTGTACACATTAGCTTCGTTCTATTATTAAGTTTGTTGAAAAAAATTGTTATTTTATTTGTATTAAGTGTCTCATAGTTCAAAGAGCAAGTAATTTGGCTATGGACATGCTTTTTAATTGATTTAGAGAGCCGACATGACAGCGGGAGGTGATTCAAAATCAATCCGTTGGGTTCCTCTGTAATTGCTGACAATATTACAGACACACTTATACGTTCGGGTAAAACTCCCAGTCCTAAAACTGCCAAGTGGATAAAAAAAAATCTCTATGGAATTCAAGTAAATGGTATAAAACAATTACATCCAAATCATGTGTAATAAAAGATGGTATTTACATTACTACGCATTAAAGGAGCCAATTAATCGCTATTTTTGGGCACCAAGAAATGGACACACATGGGTCTGAACGCTATACATAATGTAATATGAGTGTATATAAACTGATTTACATTCTATCGTTTCTGTTTTACTGTAATTTCTAATCAGTTATATTCGGCGAAGTCCGAATTGAATGGCAGTCTTTGACGTATCGTTATTCCAGTCTACACCAGTAGTATGCTTCTACTTTAGCCTCGATCATCAAGTCGCTTCATACAAATCGCACTCTAAAGCATTCTGGGACGCGATTCATGTGCCAATTTCAAAATTTTCATTTTGACTTAAATATTGGATATCAGAAGCCCAACTTTTTATGGTAAGATAACAACATCAATGTTGATTTAAATTGACCAATAAGTCGTGTTTGCAATGTCGAAGACTGTGGATGATATTGAGTTAAAGACTTGGCTCCTTTAATGGTATACATATCTCAGTCAAGGGTGTTTTAAAAAATATTGAATTTGGTATTCGTTTTGTTATTGAAGCAAAGGCGAAACAATGTTATGACTTACATACAGTCTGGATGATTAGTTCATGTTTGTTCCCTCATTGGCTGCATATTTTGCACAAACACAAAACATAATGTTTTAAACAAAGGGTCCTTATAAAAAAAATTACAGACACTAAAAAGAGAGCATGAGGATCAAAGAAACTAACAAAGTGTACATCTTTATTGCAAGTAACTCATTTTTTCAACTTACTTTTAAATCCACAGGGTACCATGTAAATATGTAAATGTTTCGTCTAGTTCGTTTGCTCAAGCGGGAGTAGCGCCACCCGAAAGCAGAACTTATGAGACCACATTTTTCTAAATGCGTTATTATACAACTACATTTTCATGTGGTCGTAGTATGCTGTCGCTCCTGTCCGCCCGACGTGTGTCCGTTCACATGTTTCTGGACACTCTACAGGTAAAAATATTTATCGGGTTATGACGAAACTTGAAACATAGGTTTATATGCCAAAGATCTCCGATTCCTTTACATATTGGAATGTATCGGACCGCATCTTCATGGATTATGGTCCTTGGTTATAGCTTGTGTACCCTCAGAGATCACAATTCGATTTTGATAAAACATAAAATGTATGTTTATAACCCAACGATCTTGGTTCCTTTCGATAACTAAACGTAACTTTCTGGATTATGGCCTTGGTTGTATGAAAATTCGCATTTTTAGCTTGTGTACCCTCGTCACAATTTTTATTTAATTTTAAAACCGTTCACATATATCACCGTTACACCATAATGACGGTTAAAAGTGGACCAAACTGTCCGACAAAATGACCACTCCCCTGTACGCAAATAGTGTAAAAGTATTATAATACCAAGTTAGTGGACCCGTTAGAGGTCACAATTTTTATCCAATTCTGATGAAGCTTACAATGTATATTTATCCCATTGTCTAGCACAGGGGTCAGGGGAAAACGTTGATTCCATCGGCAGGGAGAGGCAGTAGATTATTTTCATGTATTTATTGTCTATATTTGTTTGGAATGTTTTTCTGAAGCAGTGCATATTCGTATTTTGATTGTGCCTTAACCATGCAGGAAATTATAATCATTTTTGTAATTTACATATTGTGTGAATGTATATAGGGTTGATCAATAGGAGATAACTTGATTACTTGCTATAAATTAACTACCTTTGTAATTGCGTATGTGGCTGTTTTGTTTTAGATGAGTATGATATGAGTATGCCACTTGTTTGGAGCTTGGTGTAAATATGTAGGAATTTGTTTACCGTGGAATTGATCTGGACTGATTATCCAATACGTCATATCTATTTACATAAAAGACAGATTCGTAGAAGATATTTGTCAACAGATTGGATATTTGTATGTTTGGAAGGCATTATGTTTTGGTTGTATTTTTATATGAGATTACTTGATACGTGTTTGTATCTGATGATATTTTTTTTTTATTAAAGTGAATTATTGTAGAAATGGTTATTTTCATACATTGTTAGATACGTTGGCAAAACGTCCCTGAACGTCCCATTCATTCCGAATTACCTGAATTGCTGCTGGCTAATCCCCTACTGGACGAATATGTAATGTTCACAATCGAACATCCTTTCGATATTAGCGCACATCTATGGATGACCATTAGGGTCACTCAATGAAAAAAAAAATATTCTGATTACCATATAATTACAAGATAACTATCTTGTAATTACAAGATACGGGGAGGCTGATGAGTAATTTATATCAAGGTCGCCACACACCGATTTATCGAATAGCTAGGCCAACTCCGTACTTTATGTTACAGAATCGGCACATTCATGTCATGCTACCATAATGTCATTCGTTATTGTCATTTTCATCCCACCAATTAACTTCATACTCTCATTTATATCATGATTCATTAATTTCATGCTCTCCTTGTTTTGCTTTCGTTTGTTTTGACTTTACACATTTTCTATTGTCTGCAGAAATTGTTTGTTCAGTTGTTTTTAGTTCTGCAAAAAATTAAAAACTGTGCAAAGTTTTGAGAAAATTGCCTTTGAAATTTGCGCTCTGTTGTTATCTCTGTGGCCATCAAAACAAATATTAACATTTATTTGTGATTTAATATTTCATACATATACATCAGTACAATAACTACCATTACATCATTACCTAACCAGTTTGTTACTTGTGATAACTTTTAGTTTGATACGAGTCAAATTTCATGATAGTCTCATTCGCCATTTTGTGCGAAAACAACAAATTGGTACGGTTCACATTCGCCCAAATTGGCCACTTTGTGAGATCAAAAAACAGTTGTTTTATTTTGTTTTATCATGAACAGTTTAGGGCATTCTAATCATATTCGTCATAATTATATTCGTCGATTCGGGAGAATATTTTATTCAAAGTTCCTCATTTTTCCATGGTGTATAAAATCGGGCCCAATCCTAATTGAAAAGAGAATATCAAGGCATCACAATAACTTACAAGTTAAAATCTCAACTTTTAGTCAAAATGACAACAGATTGGCCATGATGGACATAAATCAAAACAATCGGTTATTTGTTATTTAATAAAACCCCACTGATTTATATTTAGGAAAATTTTGATCACATTTTTGACTGGTTTTGATTTTCTTTGTTTTAACTTTACACAGTTATTAATATATAAGTTTGGTTGTTTTGGTTTTGCCCCGTTTCGTCTATATCCCTTTTAAACAAGCCGTTGCCATCTTAACGTTTCGCTGAACCTCTTTGATGCGCCTTTATTTAATCCGATTGAATCCAAGTCTGGAAATTATATATCGTTGCTATCTTGATTTTGATTTCTTTAATTTTTTGGTGGGGTGGGGAGGTGGGTGGCCGAATGGTTAGCATGTGCGCGATATATCATAAGGTATGTCATTGAGTCAACTGGCGTGGTTTCGATTCCCCAGTTGTACGTGATAACGAGTAGGGTCGCCTGTCCAACCTTGTGGGTTTTCTCCGGGTCCTCCGGTTTCCTCCTACTGCTAATGACCCCTACGCGCAAGCGAATTATTGAAATAAAATTGAACCATATGTTAGTCCCGAAATGACCTAGCTAAATCGATCCCGTCGAAAAAATCTGGAAAAAATATTATTGTACATGTAAAAAATTAGAAACTGTTCAAAGTTTGTGGTCTGTAGCTTAAAAATTGACTGAAATACGGGCATTTGAGTTTCATGAGTTACCGATAAGTTTTCGAAACAAAATATGTATCAATAATTTACTCGAGTTTCAGATATCTTGTTTTTACTATTCCGGTAAAGATATCCACATTTGGTAGCGTTAGAGAAGTTTGTGCGTAGATTACGAATCTAATCAGATGTGAGGGATAGGGTTCGCATGCTACTTGGCCATGAAAACCGAAAACAATTTGGTGTAATTGTATATTTTGTGGAGTTTGTAGTGCTCCAAGAGCTACTAAGTAATATATATAGACCCATATTTTGGCCTATCCAGAGATTGCCGGTAGTATATAAGAAACATGAAAACGCACCAGTCTTCACTAGATTCCCATAAAATTGGCCTCGAATATGGTTTTAGACACAATTTTTTGAAAATTGCCTCGTATTTTCGAGCCGAAAGAACCCGGTAGATGAGCACCTAAAAATTTGAAACTTAGAGGAATTATAGTTTTTACTGATGTCTCTAAAATGTTAAAACCATCTCTGTCCCATGCCATCTTAATATTTTTTCGACTTTTTCAAAATGTGTGGTTTGGGTCATTTCATGTCAATTGTCACCCAATAAGCTAAACCGTACCCACTTCGATTTTGCTGAAATTTGGTTTATATGTTTATTATGGCTGAAAAAGCTGATATTCCTAACAGTTCCTGAGATACGATCCACCCAATTTGGGGGATTTCGGCCCAAAATGGGCGTGGCCGCCATTAAACAAATGACTAACCCAGTAACCGATAAGTCAAAATTGCTGGAATAAGTATTTCTGGAATGGAAATTCCACAAGGATTCTAAATTTCCAGTTATATTTGACATCCTGGCGTGTTTGGAGAGTGAAGACCTTTCGACTTTGAATTTGACCTTGTAGACCATGTGACCTTTCATGAAAAATTTAGCTCAACATGTTTTCTACACAATGTCAATTGGAGGTACAGTATCTTTTATAAACATGCAAAATGTTAATTGACATAGATTGACCTAAAACACAGATTTTGAAAAAAATCGACAAAATATCTAGATGGCATGGGACAAGAATGGCTTTAACATACGTTGGAGATATTAGTACAAACTATAATCAGTAATCACACAAAGTTTCAGATTTTTAGGTGCTCATCTACCGGGTTCTATCGGCTCGAATATTTGTGTCTAAAACCATATTCGAGGCCAACTTTCTGGGAATCAAGTGAAGACTGGTGCTTTTTCTTGTTTCTTATGTAGTACTACCGGCAATCTCTGGTTAGGCGAAGATTTGGGTCTATATTTATTACTTTGTAGCACCCGGAGCACTACAAAATACACAAAATATACAATTACACCATTTTTTTTCGGTTTTTATGATCAAGTAGCATGCGAACCCACCCTACCACTCACCTGTAATCTGTTTGCAGATTCGTAATCTACACAAAAAGTTTTTTACGACAACCAATTGTGAGCTGTATATCTTCACTGGAAAGGAAAAAATAAGATATCTGGAACTCGAGTAAATTATTGATACATATTTTGTTTTGAAAACTCATCGGTAACTCATGAAACTCAAATGCCCGAATCTCAGTCAAATTTGAAGTTACAGACCACAAATTTCGCACAGTTACTAGTTTTTACATGTACAATAACATATATTTTTTCCAGATTTTTTCGAGGGGGGCCGATTCAGTAACATAAAATAAAATACGGCGTTGGCATAGATATTCGATTAATCAGTGTATGGCGACCTTGAAATAAATTACTCGTCGGCTTCTCCGTATCTTTTAATTATAAGATAGTTATTTTGTAATTAAAAAGCTATTCTGTAATTAGAAGATAGCTATCTTGTTATACCGAGATAGGTATCCTGTAATAACAAGATAGTTGTTTAAAATTGTAATCTTGTAATAACGAGATAGCTACCTTGTAATAACGAGATAGCTATCTTGTAATAACAAGATAATCAGGATTTTTTTTTTCATTTGATTGACCCTAATGGTCTTCCGTATCCGACCGTAACCCAGTTTTATTGGCTTAAAAATATATCTACAAGGTAAAAAGATGAGCAATAAAGTGAATAAAAGGATGAACAGATGAGCAAGAAAATGCTGAATTTCGTAAAATATAATATACAAGATACACCTGTGGATTAACCCCGGAGATATTTAATGGGGAAAATAACAAAAAATATTTTTAAAACATACCTTGTCAATGAAATATTTTATTTTGTTATAAAAAAGTATACTTAATGAAAGACAAAGGAATTTTATATGCAGGCTACCAAAATATGTACAACAATTTATTATATGATTGGTGTAAAAAAATATTACATTCAGAACAACTTTGATATATAGGAATAAATTGAACAAGCGGTTGTCATGCAAGATACGCCCACATTTTGCACGAGATGGCCAGAGAACATGCTAAAACAGGATAAAAATTGTGATCTCTAGAGGGTCCACAACCTTGGTATTACATACTTTTAACGACCGTTATTGTGGGGTAACGGTAATATATATACACGTTTGTTTTTTAATCGGATAAAAATTGTGACCAGCTCAAAACCCGATTTTTTTGTACAATCAGGGGTCATAATCCATGACGTTACGGTCCGATACATGCCAATATGGAAAGGAACCGTGAAATTTGAGAGAAAACCCTATATTTCAAGTTTCGTCAAAATCGGATAAACATTGTGACCTGTAGACTGTCCACAAATTGTGGGTGGACGGACGGACGGACAGGGGCGACGACAATGTACACATGCATGAAAATGTGGGCGTATAAAAACATGACATATTACAAAACAGATATTTTAAAAATTAGTATTTATATATCAATTTAAATAATTATATCGTATTAGATCTATTCAAAAGCTGAATAACAGTACAGTTGTAACAAATATTTTATTTTAACAGTTATATTTTCATAACATAAATATTATTTGTTTTAACAATATAACAAAATACAGGTAGAAGATTGGTAACACTTAAAGCGGAAATTTCAAATTTTTAAGTTATATTTTTAAAATTTATTAAAATAAAGCCTTAAAATAGATGGTATCCATAAACAGTCCTACCTTGTTAAAGAATAATCCTATTAATTCTATAATTCACTATTGCCAGCTGAGAAATTGGCAAAAATATCATTTTCAACTTCAAATTCCAACGTTGAGGAAATGGCTGACCATTGTTTTCAACAGGAAAACAAGGGAGGTAATTGTGTTGTTATTTCCTGTGTAAATGAGTTTTAAGTGTGAGAATGACACCTATGATCGTATAATAGTGAGTTGATAACCTATTGAGCAAAAGACATAGAAATAATTATGTTTTGACTTTCTTAGAAAATATGAAATTCTCGCTTTAAACGGCTACTTTTTCCTTTAAACACAAGTGATACAGTCTTCAACCTTTGTCATGTTTTGTACTGCCGGAGAGGACAAAGAGAGAGAGAGAGAGAAATGGGGTTTAACGGCCACTCGACACAAACTAGGTCATTTCGGGACTAACATATGGTTTAATTTTATTTCCATAATTCGCTTGCGCGTAGGGGTCTTTAGCAGTGGGAGGAAACCGGAGGACCCGGAGAAAACCCACGAGGTTGGACGCCGGAGAGAACAACTGCCGACCATTTTATTATTAATTTTATATAGTATACATGTATTACTGTTGACTTTATTACCAGTGATTTTATTTGTTCTTTTTAGTATAGTTTATTTAATGAGAAATGAGCCTAATCATGTACCTATTTATGTCAGTACAAGTTCAACAGTCGCCATGTGGTGGACTATTTACGTGGTATTGCCCATAATACTCACCTGTGATCACTTTGTATAAGTGACCGAGTAAGTGCTATTATAGACAATGTGATAACTTTGTCTTTGTATCAGTGACTTAGTACTATTATAGACTATCTGTGATGTAAACTGAACTTAAATAATTCTATATCAATAATTAGTGCTCATGATAATAATAAAGAATCAACAAAAAAGAACAAAAATACAGAGAAACAAATAATATGGTCGGCCTCCGTTGCCCTGCTCTCCAATAACTGTCTACTTTAGGAAATACACTAGACTGCCCCAAACCACCCTAACTAGGGTTCCTTTGACTACCCTAAACCTCCCTGTCATCCCTGCACTAACTAGTAAATGATCCTATAATACAGAAAGCTATTCACATCTCAGTGGTTTGAGGCAGCCAGAGGAACAGTAGTTTTGGACTGTTTCGGTCTGTATGGGTATTAATATATCACATTTTTCTAATGTTCTTCAAGGAACTGACCGGGGTAGTGGATATTTACATGTACCAAGTTCTCAAGAGACATCAGGAGATAGTAGGTGGTCAACTTTTGGCTATAATCTGTTTTATATTTATATTCTTATGCTTCAAATGGCAATCTGTGAATGTTTAAATTAATTTATTTAATGAAACTGATGCCATAAAGGAGAATATTACAGAAAGGTTTTCAGATAGCTTATGCAGCATATCATACACAATGTACACACTGCCAAGCAACGATTGCATATATATACATTGTCACTAAATAGTCAGTAAATGCTATGTGATGGATGGGTCTTCATTTATATAAAAAGTATTTTGAAGCTAAATTTTTCATTACATTTGAAATATTTTTAGACTAGTTGACAGAATGGTATACTCTTCAAAAAAAAGTATGCATAGCCCATTTTTTTATTTGAACAGATCGTTATTTCCATAAATCGTGCTTTTTTTAATGTCATTATGTAAGGATAAAAAAAATTCATGATTGGTTTTAAATGTAAAGTCATTAATTGTGACTGGTCATACTTTTTGCTGAAATTTGTTTTCGCTTGATTGCACCAAGACATGTGAGTTTAACAACTTTCTGCATGAAACCCAAATCTAAGGCCTTTAAAATTCTCGGTTTCAAAATCAGTTGCACACGTAATCACTCAACGAAGACCATCGCAACAACGCTATCGGTCACTTACAAGCAGGTGAATCCCAGACAGATGTGGCCAGACTGCTGAATGTTTCCCATCTCTCGCCTCTGGGATAGGTACCGACAGTGAAGTTCAACACGTGACCGTCCCAGCTCAGGCCAAACAAGAGTGACCTCACCTGCCCTGGATTGCACATCCGGTTACTTCATTTGCGGAAAAGGTTCACAACAACGATCTCTATTGAAGCAGCAATTCCTGGACGACGTAGGATCTCAGATCAGACAGTCCGTAAACGCCTACATGAAACCAGATTACGAGTCAGAGTTGCTGTTTTGAAATATGCCGACACAGTCAAATCTGACTGCAATGGGTTTGGACACACAGGGTATGAAAAACAGGCAGAAAAAATGTAAAATTGTGATGGACAATATTATTATGTTCGAATTTGATAGCTTGGGATACAAAAATAATTCATCTGAGAGTTGTCTACAAGGCAAAAATTTGATAAAAAAAAACATGACAAAGCCCATTTCACTATCCTTTCCCTAAAATTATTTGGTACAGAAGAAAACTAAGCCTAAATCAAACCTGGTCATCAATTTCCAAAAGAAAAAAAATAGTGTAAGAACAATATACTCCACACACTCCAAGTATTACACCGGACTCTGAAAATATCTGTACACCTGAAAGTAAGTTTATTATAACATGGTTAATATCATTTAACATTATAATTAATTAACTCAATTAAATTGGAAGGGGTAACACTAATACAGACATATCTATTATGAGTATGAATCCTGAGCTTTAAAGAGGTCTGGTCATTCTAATTAAGAAATTCCAAGTATATTTCAGAGAAAATAACTTGTTCTAGACCCAAGCAACTATCTAAAACTCTGTGATACTTCTTCAAATTCTATTATCAGATGTAGTTAGAGACAAGTTTCTTGTCTAGCAAATACTTTGTGCCTGAATACATCATTTTGCTACAGCTCATGTGAGAAGTGATAACTTCCTGCTATACTTTCATTTGTTGTCCTTTTTCAGCAAGTAATGGAATTTGTAGGTTATTGCTGGGTCATTCCATGTCAAGTGGACCAAATTTCGGAAAGTTGGGAACATGTCCCACATGGCCAAAATTGAAGGTGAAAATGGGTATATTTTGTACGTTTTCAGTGTGCATTGAATTTTGAGACTGAATATTTGGAAAAGTATATATCCTATCAACTCAAAATCTTTTGTAAATTGATAAAATGTAAACTGACACTAACTATGCCAATTTTGGAGTTTGCGTATACAATAGAGACTTTGCCAGAGGCTGTGGAAATTCTTTGAAAATAAAAGTGAATAATTCATTTGTTCCACTGCGCCACCTGGTGGAGCAAAAAGTATGCATTGGACAATGAGGGTGATGCTAAATTCATTATCTACACCAAACGTTGTTTACGATTACAAAGTTAGACAGTTCCACTCCTATTGGAAATCTGCATTTAAAGCACCCGAAAACCTGATAAAGATTACTGAATTTATGATCCGTTTCAGTACGGTACCCTAATTTCAAATGGCCATATCTCCACGAGTTTTCAATCTAAAGAGGTAAAATTTCGAATTTGTTAGTTTAGGGCCCTATACTATAACATATGGTCATGTTCCCACCATTGGTCCAGTTGATATGGAATGACCCTGCTGTACTTTAATTATATCTTGGCAATCAAGCTTTCCTGGTCAGAAAGTAACATGTAAAACATTTAAAATATGTTTTTACCTTTATTTCATGATCCTCTGATCCCGATAATAATATATTACCATATAAAGCTAATGTATTCACACTTCCCTGGTGTCGAGATAAAGTTTGGATCGGTAGATGATTTTCTAAATTCCACATCTGTAATTTCAAATTACTCTAAATTACAAACAAAATACTACATATTCTAATTTAAATATATCAACAGTTATCAATGGATAGGTTTGCTTCTATATGGTTGTATCCCATTGTGTTGTCAATAAATCAGGTGGTCTATCATTTAAAATCAACCTACTATCTTAAATATGCTTTATGTAAAAGCTAAATCTGCCTAATGCAGATCTTTCGTTTGGCCTCAAATGTTATATTAATCATTATTTAAACATCTATTCTCATGTTAAGCACATAATCAACTCTCTAGACCATTGGATGGTTTTGATTTTCACCGGATTTAAACACGATTGCCAGTTAAACATTTTAATTACAAAATGGAAAATGAGACTTTGTTTATTATGGTGACAATGGTAGCAATAACAATTGGGACTACAGTGTTCTTCAAACAGTCATAACACCGCTCAGAATGAAGTTTTTTCCTTATCTATTTTTTAACTATTACAGGAAGAACTGTCAGCTCTTTATCGAAATCTTACATAGTGCATTTTTAACTGATCAGAGGAGCCACAGTGGCTCGCTAACCAGGACGTCTCGGGTTCAGTTCCTCAGGATTTGCCAGTGTAGTTTTAGTTCCCCCTTTGCAGGGGCTGTTAAAGACGTGCGCATAATGACCCTTGACAGTTGGAATTTGAAATAAAGAGTATGCCGTAGCGTTGATGTTTGGGCAAAATCCTCATAGCACACTGTATGGAGTATGCCTGTCTACAGTGCCCTGGTTGATGCAGAAAAGTAGTATGTTAAACCCCCTATTTCATTTCTTTTCATTTATTTGATCTATTCTATGCTCCATTTTAAAATCTAAATTAAATTAATATGCATTTCCTTTGTAAATTTACAATTCAAAATTAAGTTTGAACAAACCTGTACATTATGATCATGTGACCCTGAAAATAAGAATTTTCCTGATGGTGAAGGTACCAGAGATGTTATAGCTCCAAAATGACCTTCTAATTTAATTATTTCTTCATTTGTCTTTACATCAAATAGCTGAATATTTTGGTTATAAGAACCTACAAAGAAATACAAAGTCCTTGCACTACGCTGAATTATACAAATAGGCTAGAAAATATTTTTAATGTATTTTACACTTAAGCAAGCATTCTATGTGTCCTGTTCATCTCTTAGCCAGGGTGGGGTTTCAGTTTTCATTTGTATTGGTGCTACCGAGAGCATTTGGGGTTTCAATGAAAATAGTTAATGCTTTTAAAAATAGAATGTATTTAAGGATGTGAATGTTGTATATGGGTTTTTACTATAGCGTATTAAATATAGCATTCTTATGGTTTGGAAAAATGGAATTATATTAAATTTAGTAATATGGCGATATATGTGCTGATGCAAGAGATTAAATGCTTATCAGATGCTTATCAGTATCTGCACTGAAATTTGAACATACACCAAGAACGATCCTAAATTTATTAAAATAATAACATACCTGCAATGACATATTGTTTTGTAACTGCTAGTGAATATATTGAACCTAGATTATGTTCTATTGTACCAACAGTTTCAAATGTACTGGTATCCCAAATATTAATGGCATTGTGAGAACCACTATATAACCATTGCTGTTAAAATATATACCATACAAATAAAATTCTAAAAATCGATTGACAGGTGTAAAATATTGTATATTAGTGGACTAATGTTGGGTGGTTATATCCAATTGGTGAGTAACAAACATATTAAATATGCTCCTGCTGTATTCTCGATCGTTCCAGTTTAATATGTCTTTGGATGCTCTGGACAAAAAAGTATCCATTCTGTATGTCTAACTGTCCGTGCAAATTTACAGTTTATGCAATGCGATCTACTTTTATTTCAAATACGAAGTGAAAGTCAGCTTTCCTCTCAAGAATCTCTGACCTCTATGACTTTTGACACTGTAAACAAATTTCACAGTACTCTGTCTAGAATAAATCAGTGTCAATTTGGTCTGGAAGTCATCAAGACTATTTCTTCCATTGCTTTACGTTTTTACAAATGGTGTATGGATCTGTTATCATTTTTCTTTATTCTTTTTAATCTAAACGTGACCGTTGCTATCTGGATAACTGCCACTGCCGCAAATCACTGGCAGCCAATAAACTATTTCTAACTTCAGTATTTAATCTTACTTTTTTAGGACTGAAAGCCATTGCTCTCACCCAATGATGTAAACCAGAAATGGAATGTTTTAAAGTAAGGCTTGTTCTGTTCCACACCTAAAAATAATATCAATAAAACAATATAGTTCAAAATACTCAAGTATGAACAATAATTGATTCATTCTTCAGTAACTGTGTATTATTAAACATACATTATGCAAGAGCTAAATCTGTCTATTTGCAGGTCTTTCTTAAGGCCTTAAATGTTATCTAAATTATTAATTAGACATTATTTAACTTATCCAGACCATAATCAACTCTCAATGTCATCGCTGGAAAGGGATATTTACTGGATTAGGATCCAATTTGCTGCTCAACTTTCATTCATGATTAAATCATGAAATGGATAATCAAGACTATGTTTTTTTATTGTACCGACTTTAGTAATGATTATCGAGGCAAGTCCGAAAATTCAATCGCTAAATTCTTGGTTCAGAGTGAATCAATTTGAATGAAATTTTCAGCAAATTCCCTTTACATTATCTAGTTTTTAACTATTATAGTTAGAACTGCCAACTCTTTAACTAATCTCCCATAATGTATCTTTAATACTTTGCTAGGCTACGACATATAAATTACCACCCCCAATTACATTACTTTTGTTATTCTAAAAAGTAAATTACTGTCATATTTTCAACCCATCACAGCCCAGATTTTCACAGTGGTGAACACACAGCTGTTGGATCTAATCAAGCGGGAATTGTCTGCAGTATAACCCACATTGAAAGTAGATGATAAGCCCCATGAATGAACAAACCAACGAACCATGTGGAAATTTCTGACTACCAGAAAACAAAATAGAACAAGAGCATCGCTAACGCAGCAATATACGTCCACATTCCTGTTTTGTTTGATATGGTCCAGTTTGCATTGAGGGTCTGTGAAATAAAACTGGGTTGTAGGACTGCTATCAGTATAACATTTCGTTCACATTAACAGAACACAATTTTTATTTTAAAACAATCGATGTCTTTATTCTAAAAGCATGACGTTTTTTTTTTGTTTTTTTTTGCTTGATTGATAACGATAAGAGAATACTTGTGGAAACGTCGTGCTTTTAGAATAAACTAGTGATTGTATCCCATAAAAACTGTGTTCTGTTAATTTGTTCCCTGATCGCTAAATGCCACTTAAAGAATAACTAGAAATGGGCGTGGCTCTGCCCCTGGGGGTCGGGCATGCACCAAAAACAATAGGGATCTTCCTTGGGGTATAAGGAATAAGTATACCAAGTTTGAAGAAAATCCAGTAAGAATTGCGCCCTGTAGGCGACACAAAGACACACGAAAAGAAAATGGGCGTGGCTCTGCCCCTGGGGGTTGGGCATGCACCCCAAACGATAGGGATGTTCCTTAGGGTACAAAGAATGTGTATGCAAAGTTTCAAGATTATTAGTTAAGAAATGTGGCCTGTAGACGACAAACAAACAAATACTAGAAATGGGCGTGGCTCTGCCCCGGGGGGTCGGGCATGCACCAAAAACAATAGGGATCTTCCTTGGGGTATAAGGAATAAGTATACCAAGTTTGAAGAAAATCCATGAAGAATTGCGCCCTGTAGGCGAACCACAGACACACACACACACACACACACACACACACACACACACACATACATACATACACACACACACACACACAGACAGGGGCGACGGCATAATACGTTCACATTATGAATGTGGACGTATAAAAATGTGTACTAAATGCTGCACTCAAACGGTTAAGTTTGATTGTTGAGTAAAGGTGTAATAGATCTTGCTTATATGCATCAACCAGAGAGGATGAAAATGTGACTCATATTAGCATTATCTCAATTTATAAGCCAATTTTGAAAGTGTTTGCAAAGTAAACTATACGTAATACCCAGCTATAACAAGCGGTTGCCATGCAAAATACGCCCACATTTTGCAAGAGATGGACAGCATTGAGCTAAAAAATAAAATAGCGATTTTTTGTACAATCAGGGGCCATAAAGCCCATAATCCAGGAAGTTAGGGTCCGAAATGCAGAAATATTGAAAGAAACCCAGATCTTTGGGATATAAACATACATTTTAAGTTTCATCCAAATCAGACAAAATCTGTAACCTCTAGAGGGTCCACAACCTTGGTATGATATACTTTTATACTATTTGCGTACAAGGAGCGGCCATTTTGTTTTGCCGTTTCGGTCATTACGAAGTAACAGTGACATATTTATATATGAACGTTTTTTAAAATCAAATAAAAATTGTGACCTCTAGAAGGCCTGCAAGCTAAAGCTAAAAACACGATTTTCGTACAATGTGGGCAGATAAAAACTGACTGACATAAATTAATCAGCTGGTCATTTTCAGTCAGGACTGGTAAATGTGATGTCAATCAATTTAATAAATATTTTACCTTTATTAAAGAAAAGGAAGATGTGAATAGATGATCATCATGAATTAACATTGAGCAGATTGTATTATCATGAGCATTCTGAAATCATAAAATATTCTTTAAAATCTAAATCAAATATACTATATAATAATTCTTATTATATATACAACTGACAACCAAAAAATAGAATATACAACATAGACAATTCAAAATATTGACAAAGCATGAAATGCCAAAATTAATCTAATTGTCGAGACTGGTGTCTATATAATACAGAACAAACTTTACGGAAAAAAATAAATCTGAGGTTCATGAACTTAATTGGTAAAACTGGTATAATTGTACCTCAATGACATGAGTTGCAGTTCCAGTCTGTAAATCCCATTGTCTTACAGATAAATCATCACCTGCTGTATATAGATTACCTCCACCAATACATGAACAATGTATCTATAAATAAATATATTATAATTACATATCAAAACCTTTTTATCCATTTTTTTTTAAAACAAGTAATTCAGTGGTCTACTACTGTGATATTACACGGTGAAGGTGAGGTGCCCTTCCCTAAGAATTGTCCTGAAGATTTCAAATGTTAAACAAACAATATGTTTGGTTTAAACATATTTTATTACCATAAAGTAAAAGGATTGGTCAAAAGTTACATAAACTTACAGAAAAACATCCTTTTCTTCATAATTACATGAGATTATTAAAGATAACAAATTTTACAAAATAAAGAAGAGAATTAAAATCATGCTGAGGAATAAATCTCAAGATTGACAAAAATGATCATAAGAAATAATATAAGTTTGTGGGGTTTTTTTTTAAACCCAAGTCTGCATTGTTATATTTGCCAAATTATTTCACAATGTGAACACTGTCATAGAAAGCCAGCTATCAAATAATGCATGTACATCAGGAATTTTTCATGAACTATATTTGAATCATCCATGAATTATTTTTTCAATCAAACAATGCAGGAACCCAAGTACAACTCATTTCTAAGCAATGCTTTATTTCTTTCTTTACATTGAAGATGTCAGTGTCTTGTTTTGCTAATTAAAGATGAAACAATTTGTACTTTGGGTTAAGCATTGTTCCAACTGTTTCAATACTAGATAATGAAATGAAATGAACCGGGGTTTAACATACTACTTTTCTGCTCCATTCGGGCTGACACGCATACGCTATGAGGGAAATTTTTCCCGGACAGTGGTGCTACGGCCTACTCTTTAAGTCAAATTCCAAATGTCAAGGGTCTTAACATCCATGCCAATGAGTACACAGGACCTTGGTTTTTTATCCCATGTGAACGACTAGACACTGTTATATGCCAGGCTCTCCGTAAAGCATCACTGACGAGGGGAAACCTTGCTGGAAAATCCTGAGGAATTTTCTTGGCAAACACTGGGGTGAAACAACTTGGACTTCTCCTTTAAAGATGTCATGCGTTCCAAAAATGAATATCCTCATTAAACATTACAAAATCCTAAATCCTTACAACATCCTTAATAAACATCACAAAGTCCTAAAATGAACTAATAACAAATAATTCAGGTAAATATAACATATGTGCCAAATTTAAAACCAAATGGCAATGTGAAATTCATTGATGTGCTATATTATGTTGATGATCATTCGAGGTTGCTTGCAGAAGGTTACACTTACCATTTTTTTGTGACCTTGCATATTTTGGTAACACCCTTTGGCTAAGGAATCTAAATCCCATACTTTAATAATGGAATCTGATCCAGCACTAAACAATTTACCATGATGAACAGTTAAACACCACACAACATCTTGATGACCTCTATAGTACCGGTAATACAAATTTGTTTAAAAGTAAGTAAATATATTCTAGTTGTTAAAGAATATTATTTTGTTATTTACCAGACAGGATTAGAACCAATCTATTCAGGATTTCCTTTTTTATAATGTAAATCTAGCTATCAGTTACAATTTCAGTCTTTAATTAAATTTGTTAACAGTTAACAGCATCTTGCTGCTACTCAACCAACTTCTAATAAGACTGTATTGTTGAAATTTGAAATGTTCTGGAGCATGTGAAGTTTTAAAATACCACAACCAAACCCGTTTTTATTGGACATATTTAACACTGGTGACAATTGAAAGTGTCCACTATATGTGATTGTGTATTTCTAAACTGAGTGATGTGCGTCTAAAAAACATTAATGGTTGCCCATAACAGGACTAGTCTGAATAAAACAAGATTAATGATATACCTGAGAGTACCAATACATTTAAATTGAAATGGCATCATCCAGTTTTCTAGTTTGGGGTAATTGGTGGGGCTTGAGGTAGGCGAATAACTTGCAGATGAAAGACGCCTTGTTGAACCTGTAATAAAAGCATATTTTCATGCACATAAATGACTTTCTGGCATTTTATGGTGTGTACAAAATTGGTTATGCCCCAATAAACATCAAATAAACCAAATTTCTTCAGCGTGTACATCTTGCTAAATATACTTATTTCATTCATTTCATAGAAATCCTATAGCAGAAGGATCTATCCGTAAAAAGCATTTTCATAATCATACCACATTATTTCCATCAGCTACAAGTTTCTAGTTATCAGGCCTAGGTATAACAAAAATATCTTTCAACAAGATTTAACATTTACTTGCCAAGATCTATCATAAAAATATAAGCATTATGATGTTAATGGTATGTACCTGACGTTTCAATTTGGGATTGCGAACCAAATGAACGTCTGCTACTCCGATTAACCATTGATTGTTCTACCATTGAATGTAAAATATCAAACTTCTGCTGTAAACTGTTAATTGACCTACAAATAACCAAAAATGAAATATTATGGATTACGAACATACAAAAACGTGAATCTGCAGTGAAGCTATAAGTGAAATATAGGCAAATGCTCTACTCAGGCATATTACTTCTGATAATTAGGTGAGTTACAGATTATTCGGAATGTTATAAGTAATAAATATAATTTATTACTGAAAGACATATTTTCCATAGCATTTAAAATTCAAAACAAGCCGCTTTCTTGATACTATTTATTTGAAATATCATTTCACTATTAACATGTGACACTTTGGCGACACTTATCCTGTGTCCCGGCAGCCAAATGTTTAATGTGACATGTGTCTCAGTAGGACTTCAACTTGCTTTGTGCATAAAACTTTAAACTTATTTTTAAATTCAAAGTATCTTTATAGGTTACAAGGATATTTTCTGCAAAAACAATACAGCAAGTCTTATATGTAAACATTACATGCAATTAAAACCTATGATGTCTATCGTGGCTATTTCTCCTAAATGTCTCTTGGGGAGTTTAGTTAAGTAAGCTATTAGGGCAGGCCCTTACCACATTTGGGTAAGTGTTTCTTTTGGGCACATAAGTTATTTTATAAAATTGAGCTAATCTGCACTATACCATATAGCCAGGCAAAGACCTCTGACCTGATGTCTCATCATAAACACAATAGTATATTATTTTTAAGGAAAAGTGACCACAGTAACCCAGTTCCCGAAATAGATGGTGGCAGGAACTGTAAGTGAGTCAGCCTAAAAAAGTTGAAGAATCTTGCTAGAGTATCCTGCTCCTGCACATATCACAAACATACATCAAGAAGATTTATAGGGATGTTTATTTAACTCAATTCTGAAAGCAATATAGTTTGAACAACCAAATATCATCTCTATATACTCACCCAATACAGGTATTAAGCTGAGAAGATATCTCATTTCTAGAACTTTCAAGTGATACAATCTTTTCTTTTAAAAAATTAACTTCTTTCTGTAGATTAAGATTACTTTTCTCCAACATTTGCGTCTATAAAATAAGATGAATAAGACATGACACAGTATTACTAACAATTCATAATTCACAATTATTGTCTTTTTTCACATACAAGAAAATATAACAGCCTAATGCGAAACAAAACAAGAGGCCAAAGAGCTTAGATAGTTCATCTGCTAAGGGTACCTATTTCACTTAATAATAATATACTGAATTGCAAAGAAAATGCACAACTGATCTGACTGGAAGAAATAGTTAGATTTTATAATGCAGCTGATATGTGATTTTTGTCACAAGTGTGAGTTAGAGAGAGACAATAAACAACAACCAAGGCCATAACAATATAACTTAACTTTACAGTGAATTCACATCTTTTTCTGTAAACCTTGTGAAAGAAATTATAGAACTATTGTTTTTAACAGATTTTTATCAATTTGGCATGAAGCATTGGGGTCATGACTATTTTAAACCTTGTGAATGGTATATTTTCCTTAACAGATAAGGAATTTCCAACATGTCAAAATTTCCAACTTACAACCAATCGCAATATTTGATTGGCTTTCAAAGATGATTAATGACCCATAGCCAATGAGATGCAGGACACCCAATCATGTGGTAGCGAAACGAGTTAATAGAAATAATTTTGATACCTTTGCTTTGAGTGCTGTATCTGCATTATTAAAATTACTTGCAAAAATACAGTCAGCTACATGGTTTGATACAGCAGATGGAATGCCATGAAATTCACAGCCTGTAGTGTAAATAAAAAATATGAAAACATTTGTTTTGTTGTTCAAGACGAACCATTATCATCACATCTACACGTATAACATAAATTTCTCTAAATACATTTGAAAATAAAGTACACTTAATAATATAACTGGTTATTCCTGCATTACTGGAAGATTCTAGACTACTACCTGTACTATAATTTGGACACTTAGTATGACTGCACTGTTCTAAGTGACCCTTTAAATCTTGACTTTTGAACATTCCACAGCCTCCATTGTTTGGACATACAACTGGAACAAACTGACATTGTGATTTGTGTTGATCTAATGAGCCTAAAAAATACAATAATAGGAAACATGAAACACACAAATATGTCACTAACTCTTTGATTAATGAAAGAATAAATGAAATGTTTTTTGCTGCCCCTACAGGTCTAATGAAAAGATATAAACACAATACAGTTTGCTTGTGCTATGAGGGACATTTTGTAAAGACAGCAATTTAATTCCAACTGTCAAGGGTTCTTTTATGTGCACAGCAACGTGTACATGAGACCTCATTTTCATCCCATCCGAATGACTACATGATTTTATTTGCCAGACCCTCCATTCTGTATTCTGCCAAAGGGAAACCATTCTGGAAAATCCATGAGTTCCAGGTTAGCTAGCCAGAGCTTATTCACTGACCCACTGTAGCTCCGAACTCCTCAATGAAATTAATGAAGGAAGAGTGATATAAATGATCATTTCTTCCAAACCTGAATTCGACAAATAAGCAAGCATGAGCTCTTGGTTTGAACAGTATGACTCCTCTATCCTAAACTAAACATTATACACTTTTTCTAAGAAATACACCATGGTGATTGGCAACATTAATGTAACATGATGACAACTGTGTCTATAATAAAGCAATTTGAATCAATGGATAAACCATAGAAATGAAAGTCTTTAATTCCAGATAACCTACCTAAAGGAAACTTATCCGGACATCCACTAGGATCAACTACCCATTCATCATTCTGTAAGATCAATCCAAACGGACAGTAAATAAACAATTCATCAATCTGGCCTACAACTAATCTGAAATACAAGACACATCACAAAAACTTTTAGCAATTTGTACAACACTTATAGCAACTGAGGGTAATTTGGATTTTTCCTGGAATTGGAGGAAAGGGTGGCTTGTTTAGTGGTTTAACACATTCTCTTTAGATCATAAGAACTGTCATTGAGTCAAGCGGTGTGGTATCAATACTGAGCTTGTACTTGACAGTTGACACAGGGTAGGTTCGCCTGTCCAACATCATGGGTTTTCTCTAGGTTCTCCTGTTTCCTCGAATTGCTAAAGACCTGTACACATAAGAGAATGATTGAAATAAAACTGTACCATATTAGTCTTGAAATGACCTAGTTTGTGTAGAGTGGACGTTACATATTTCTCTCTATAACCAATTTTCAGACAATATCAATTGATTACCGGTATCTAACATTTAATTAAGAAAACAAAAACAAAATCTTGCCAACACTAAGTAGAGAATCAAGAAAAATTTACAAATTGATCAGGGTGATAATTATGAATGTAATTATCAGAAATTGAAAGTAGGCTTCTTCGTCTCATGAACATAAATACTGACTGTATAATTTAAAGTCAATCAGATGGTAACTTTACCCTCCAGAGCACCCACAAGAATTTCCAAATGGATCAAGGGCAATAAATCTGACATTTACTCTGGCAATATCAAAAATTGTTAAATCATATCAACAGACTTCCTTGTCTCATGAACAAAAATATTAGTTCTGTGAATATTTACTCTCAAATGATTTTCTCGATCATCAGTAGAATTCCATGACAGAGAGTCAGATCCAGTACATGCTATATATTACCATATTTTCTAGACATCAAATGATAAAGCCCTAAAAAATCTAAAGTTAAAGATTCTGAATCACAGAAATACATATTGTATTTGGACTATTGTTGTATGTTGCTTTGTTTTTTTATTTTTATTTTTCAATTTGTTAAAGCAGAATCTCTTGGTTTAAAAATACAAAAAGTACCCTACATCTCAGAATATCACAAAACAAGAATAGAATAGCCTAGTACCCTACAAGTCATATTTTCTTTTTACAAGGTTTTTAAAACATACGTCAAGTTGCCTAACTGGAGAGCATATAAATTCAGATTTGTATTCTGATGGCTTTTTGTAATGTTTGGAATAAAATAGTTTTGATAATCTAGGGAGAACTGTCAGTAGAGTGGTTTAATAGCTTATAAGTTCAAACCAAGGGTTGTGTTCGATGGCAGTCTATTAGTATTTATGGATAGTTCGGCAGCAGGAGGGTACAACCGCACAATCCATTTAATTAGTTTGTTATGGAAAGAGATGTGTTGAATCCATATTTGCTTACTGAATCGCTGTCAGGTTTGCGTGTTAGGAGATATTCAGCTAATTAATCAGTTATCCTAATTAGTGACCTGTATCTCTAATACGGCAAGTTTTTCGAAAATAATATGGTGGGATAAAAGTTAGATAACATACTTATCTACGCAACATAATTGTCAGCACGGCCGTGGTCCATCTGATTGGGCCAATTGGGCCACAGAGGCCCTATGTATTCATGTAAAAAAAAAATGCACAACAAGCTATGCTAAGAGTCACTCTTGGTAATCAATCAAGCTTGAACACATTTACCTCCAACTCTTTATGGCCCTCTGTATTCATTCAAAAATGCTCAACAAACCAGTACATCACTACAAATCCTTATTGGTCCCTTTTGGTTCTGGATCTAGAACACATTTATCAGTTCAACAAAAACACATGTACCCATTCAACATCTGAGTGGGCTGCAGCGTGACGTTTAGCAATAAAATAAAACCAATTGGCCCAATCAGATGGCTCACAGCCCTGCTGACGATTTTGTTGGATAGATAAGTACATGTATGTTATCTAACTTTTATCTCTCCATATCATTTTCAGAAAACTTGCTGTATTAGAGATACAGGTCACTAATTAAGATAAGGTATATCCTAATTAATCAATTAGCTGAATATCTCCTAACACGCAAACCTGACAGCAATTCAGTAAGCAAAAATGGATTCAGCACATCTCTTTCCATAAGAAACTGTTGTAAAAAAAACTGCCAAATTGATTGCAAGGTGATGCTGAAAATTCCCATTCTGCTGCTGGACTAGGACCAGAAACTGCACCCAAGCGCTACACATAGCGATAGATAATACTGTACTGATATTAGGCCGATCTACGACAATTTTATCTGACATGACATGGCCTACTCTTCTCATAATTGTTCTTCTGTAGTTCTTTGCTGAAATGCTCTTTGAAAAACTTGATATAGTAGCCTACTTAAAATGGTTATAACTTACTGAATGCAACATGGCTTGTTTTTATTGATCTTATTTTGGGATATTTTTTTATCATTTTATACTATATAGTGCACATGACACTTGGACACTAGTACCTGTGTGCTAATTTATAATAACCGTTGGCTAAAGTAAACCAACATTGCTTTATACATAGATCTAGTCGACTAAAAATACAAACCTGTTGACAACAAGTTTACCAATATCACAAGGTAGGGAATCTATTGGACATGTTTGCAGTGTGTTTGTGCACCGTTTACAAAATGTGTGGCCACAAGAAATATTGATCACAGGTTCCTGATAACACTTCTCACAAATGGGACATCGTAGATGATTAATTGGTTCTTCAACAAATTTTAGAGTAATGTCATCATCCATTATTATCCAGAATACAGCAGAATCATAGTACAAAGTAATTCCCTTTTACCAGTCATTCATGTCTTCTCAGTTTCAGCCGAGTTTCAGTCATAAAAACCGGAATTTCCATGAACAACGTGAATCATAAACATCCGGGATGTGACAACATAAATAGATTTACCTCCCTTATACCATACCTTTCCACGCACACAAAAAATCACATTGCACTGTGACCGATACGAAAATGCCTATCGATAGGAGTGGAAGCAGACTTTAACCCACCAGACTAAACCGATATGTGTAAATTTAAATTATAAACAAAAATGGATTCGGGATAAGACCACACCAATTTTAACTTTTGTTCTTCGGTAACACCTATTTAAGTTGTCTGTCCTATTTCTTGAGGCAAAATAATGATTTAAAAACCACAAATATAGTTGGTTGTTCTTCTCGAAACCTTTAGTTCCATACATTCAAATTATGAAATTTTAAAGAACATCTTACTTGAGAATTTGAGTGGGTTTTTTTATTATTATTATTATTTATCATGTCCCAGAAGACCTAAAAATAAATTGGTGAACCTTTGTTCTGAATGGGAAAAAAGACAATAATCTGAAAATTTGATGCGATTTTTAACAATTAATTTTTACAACGGTAGTTGTTATGGGGCGCCGTTTGTAAAATATTTTTTTTCATAGCAAAAAACATTAGATTTAACTCCGAATATATATATTTAGATAAATATTAGAACAAAAATGGCATATATGTAAATATCAAAAAATATTGTAGCTTAAAGTCGAGTTTTGGTCTATGAAAAACTTTAGATGTTATATCTTGATTTCACATCGCTTAGTTAAATATATAGCTAAATGTGCTGTTTAGTTGTCACTGTCACACTATGACCTGTGTAGTCCGATTCGGTTTGTTACAAAATACCCACCCGTCGGCTTTTCGGGTAGAAATCGTGGAATAAGCTTTATTTTGAAGGTTTTGGTGTTTACAGATAAAAAAAACTAATGTTGACATTTTTTCTGAGTAGGTCTTCATAGCATGGGAGACCATTATTTGAGGGTAGCCATTTTGCGATAATATTCCAACTTATTATTTTATTTTCACCTTATTTATAATGTTATCGACATATCAACTCAACTGTGATTTAGCAATGTATTATAATATTGGCAGGGGTCGTGACTATAGGCTATTTCAGAAATTTTTCCATCACTTAATGAAGATACTTCAAAGATGGCGACGATTTTTGGCGGGAAAATCGGACGACGTGCTGATTTCGATTAAAGATACATTATGTAAGATTTAGATAAAGAACTAGCCATTCTTGCTATAATAGTTCGAAAGTAGATGATGTAAAATGAATAATTTGAAAATTTCATTAAAATTACTCTATTGCAAGCGAAGATATTAGCCTTTGAAGGTTTGACAGACGTGTGCAATAATTTCAACCACCGTAATGGTTGATCGAAGCTAAGTCTCGGTCCTCCATATTTGATTAAATCAAAGTATCGCTGAACCATTCTAATCTATTTAATATCGGAGAAATCTGATGCCATCGAGAGTTGATTAAGGCCTAATTAATGTCTAATTAATACTTTAGAAAACATTTTAGGCCTAGAGAAAGACCTGCAATAGACAGATTTAGCTCTTGCATAATGCATGTTTAAGTAGTAGTGTTTGGTGTCAATATATAAGTTTTCAAGGGCACATATTCCATTTCTAACGGTTACAACTGTGTAAAATGATCACATGTTCACCTATTTTGTGCATTTCCAAGATGGCGGCCATTTTTGGCGGGAAAATGGAACGGTGTGCTGATATTGATTAAATAGTCGTTTTCGGGGTCCAGATTCCATTTCTGCCCTTTACAACTGTGTAAAATGATCACATGTTCACATATTTAGAATATTTCTAATATGGCTGCCATTTGTGGCGGGAAAATGGGACGATGTGTTGATTTTGATTAAATAGCCGTGTTTTTGTGTCAAAATAATGTTTCCTGGGACGCAGATTCCATTTCTGCCGTTTACAACTGTGTTAAATGATCACGTGTTCACATATTTAGCATATTTCTAATATGGCTGCCAATTGTGGCGGAAAAATGGGACGATGTGCTGATTTTGATTAAGTAGTCGTGTTTTTGTGGAATATATGTTTTCGGGGACGCAGATTCTATTTCTGCCAATTACAATTGCGTGAAATATATGATCGTATGTTCAACCATTTAGCATATGTCCAAGATGGACGCCGTTTGTAGCAGGACGTTTTCTAAACACATTACTGAAAAGGTTTCTGAATCCCTTTCTTCTATTTTTAAGCTTGTAGCATGTACCTGGAAACCAGTAACGTGTTTTACCCATTAGGTATACATGTATTATCCAATAATGAAAATTCCTCATTGGTCGATTGAGTCGTAGTAGTTGGACTCCAGTCTGGTTTTAAGACTTGGTGGTTCCATCGAGACTTTCAGTTTATGTTCTATGTAAGTTATAGATACAAAATTAACGATGGTTAAAAATGTGAGACTTACAACTTTTGAAAATGTAATTAATAAATTAAAAAGTAGAATAGAAATGTATGATATTAAATATAATAAAGCGGTATAAAGAAATAAAAACAAGGACTGAAAATGAAATAGTAATTAATACTTTAAGAAACCTCCGTGGCATAGATTATATTATCAACTGACCCCAAGCTGCATGTGGAAGGAGTCGTTCAGAGGAATGCTGTGGAAGGAGTCGTTCAGAGGAATGCTGTTGCGTAGGAAAAACAAATGCTATCACCTCTTGAACTACGTCGTGACAAGTCATTTATGACATTTCTGACATCACCATAGAAAGAACTGGTGACAGTGATGTGATGTCAAAGTAGGCGGTCACATCGTTGTGTAAATGGTTACATACTTTATCTTTCCAACGCAGCAGCATTCCACATGCTTGTTGCACATTCAGCTTTGAAGTCAGTTGATAACTTAATATCCACGAGGGCTTCTTAGCGTGTATTTCATTTACAGCCACGTGATCCCCACCACCTTCAACCACGTTGCCGCCAGGGGCGCAGATCGCCAAAAATTAGTGGTGGGGACAGTCCATGCGCGGGCGACTATTGGTAAGAGGGGGGTTTGGGTGTCCTCCCCCTGAATTTTTTGAAAACTAGACGCTCTAAAACGCACTCTGTGGGTATTTTCAGCATCATTTTCTGGAAAACAATTCTGATCCCCGAGGCAGCAAATGATACGAAATCTAATCTAAAGACAAATCTTCACGCCACCGTTCACGATTTATTCTCTCATGTACACTACAAGAACTAGAAATATTTACACTACTGAGATTCCAGCTCCGCCTCCATTCCCACTCCCAGTAGTGTTCGAAGACTACGTAAAGTCTTTGAGCAAAATGTGTATTCAATTGGATACACAAATGTACATGTCTACAAATCTTTTAATTTATATAAACCAAAACAAGCCACACACACAGCTAAACATATCAATATTCAATCCCAATTGAAATAAATGTAACATTTTACTGTATTATTCATTGGTGATGAAAAAATCCGATGGCAAAGGCGAATTTTCCCACGTTAAAATTCAAAAATGGCGACCACATTGAAATAATAACTTTTCGCTTTTTTTAAAAGTTAAATCTAGCTGTTTATATTGTTCCCATAGCTATTTTAATGATTCTGAGGAGTTTTTACCAATAACAAAATAGTTCAGAGAGCAAATCGGAAATAAGTGTCCCCACCGGGATCTGCGCCCATGGTTGCCGCCAGGCTGGTACGAAGCTCCTGGCCACATGCTTGCTACGCTGTTACGACCTTTATGTCTATAAGGAAGATACTGAATTCGTCCATCAGCTTTAGTCTAGTATCCAAAGAGGAAACATCATATCAAGCAAAATATAAATTAATGTTCTTGATTGCTTGAACTTTGGTTGTTCTCTGCTTTGATAGTGAATGGGGGTGGGATGAGCATAACACTGTCTCTACAGGCGTGGCAAGAGAGCGTCGTACGTCCTGTAGGCCCGTCACGGGAGTGTGGTGAGAACGTATCCCGATCTGACTGCTAACTGTAAGATCATGATCGGAACACTTTGTGCGTAGCCAGAGCTTGGCCATGAACGTAATAAGATCTTGACTGGACTGGAGCGGACTGGGCGTAGTAAGCGCTTGGTGTGGTCATGGCAGGAGCATTATGGACGCATGTCAATTTCTTGCCACGCTTATTGGCGCAAGCCTCGCGCTGCCGTTACGCTCTCTTTGCCTTCATATCAAAGACCTGAACAGACTTTTCTTTCCCAGAAAAATCGATATCAGCTCAGTGGTCATCTCGGATGAGGAATTGTCATCGTTGGATAATATACCAAATGGGTACCGGCTTTCAGGAATGTGCTACAAGCTAATAGCCTACATAGCAGATTTGGACACAGAAACCTCTAAATAACAAGTAAACGTTCCGCCATCTTAGAAATATGCGAAATTGGTGAACATACGATCATTTTATTTTTACGCAGCTGTATATGGCAGAAATCAAATCTGCGCCCTGAAAACATATATGTATATTGACACCAAAGACAACTACTTAATCGAAATTAGCATATCGTCCGATTTTCCCGCGTAGCAATATTGGAAATATTGGAAAACATATATTGACATAAAAACACGACTATTTATTTAATCAAAATCAGCTATCTTCCTGCCACAAATGGCAGCCATATTAGAAATGTGAACGTGTGGTCATTTTAAAAGGTTGTAAATGCCAGGAATGGAATCTGCATCCCCGAAAACATATATATTGACACCAAACACTACTACTTAATCAAAATCAGCACATCGTCTGATTTTCCCGCCAAAAATGGGCGCCATCACGGAAATATCTGCATGAAGTGATGGGAAAACATCTGAAATATAGTCATGACCCCTGTCAATACTAATACAGTGCCAAATTACAGTTGATATGTCGATAACATTATAAATAAGTTGAAAACAAAATATAAGTTGGAATATTATCTCAAAATGGCTACTTTTCAAATAATGGCGTCAAATACTTTGAAGACCTACTCAGAAAAAATGTCAACATTGGTTTTTGTCATCAAACATCAAAACCTACAAAATAAAGCTTGTTCCACTTTTTCCACACAAAAAGCCGACGGGTTTACATTAAGGATCGGACTACGTGTGTGTGAAATCATATTCCTGAAGCAATGGGCCAAGAAATCCCTCTCTGCCCATTGCTGGATTGGCTTCTGATAGTTGAGCTTTTGAGGGAATGTGTCTATTCTTCTCGTTCAATCAAATCTATCCCAAGTACAGCAACATGACAGCCCTTTGTTTAATCTGGGGTCTTCCCTAAAACTTTGGACAGTGATTTTAAGGTATTAAAAACGGTGAAAGTCATGTTCGTCTCCATACAGTATTATTTACATTGTATCAATGTTGAAAGCCTCATTTGTCACTCAAAATATTCTGTTATACACTGGTTAATTGGGCATAATAAAATTGTGAGTCATGACGTAATGTTAGGTAAACATATCTGGTCCAATGTGGAGCTATGTTTAAAGCGTAATCAAATTTTTAAGCAGTTAGCTATTGGTTGTTAATCGGACTATTGACCAGTCACAATTTGGAACAGAAATTTGCTTCCATTAAAGCAGGGTTTAGTGGGATTAGCTCTAATCAACGAAACACTGCAGGGAGTATATTGTGAAATAGATTTATTTAACGTCTGCTTCTATTAAAGTGACATCCCTGACAAGGCCTTCTAGTACAGACTTAGCCTACAAGGTTGTACCATAAACAAATCAGTTAGTGTAAGAAGCCGTCTAGGGCATTTGAAAATTTGATTAAGATTTTAATTCTTTTTGCGCAAGGGTTGTCACCATTTGGACTATCATACTGTTATTAATAGGTATGCACCAAATCCTCCTCAGTTAGTGTCAAAAGACGTGGTTGAACCTATTCCTACATCTAACTCCGGAATTTCATTGATCTGCAGTCAGAAGGTATTGGACAGCAGGAAGATTGCAGCCCAAGAAAGCTGTCCACAGTAATATGTATTATTAAATATCATACATGTAGGCCTACACGTTTCCCCAATTACTCCTAAATTTGCAAACTATTTGTGGTTTGATATAATAAAAGACACTAAAGGGGATATGATTGGGTAAATCATCCTGCCATATTACTTCAGCTAAACAATTATAACATATTCTTCCAGTAGAAAAAGTCTTGAAGTACAAAATTATTGCAGTTTTTTTAAAGAATAAAACCACAAAATTTTGAGAGGTAAATTAAAAACAACCTTGCAATCACATGTATGACAAATATATTTTAATTCAATAAAGTTTAATCTCATTGACATAAAATTGATATTTATCTTAGAAGCCAAGTAGCTCTACAAGCTATTTATATTCATATACAAACTGAGATCATGTGAAAATGGAAATATAATTAACAGATAGTGAGCCTACTTGTAGACAGACTATTCATGTAGGGGTGTTTTTACATGATAATACACAAAGAAAACAATTAAGCATCCCCTGCATATTTCACAATAACTTGTTATGCAAGCATTGTTACTGGATTCCTGATAACATAACCACAGCAAAACATGCATGTGGATTGCAAGAAAACACCTATGACAGTTAGAAAACATAAAAAGTTTTGAGATTTTCAAAATCAAGATTAAAATCTCAAAACAGGATCAACTTTTTATGTTTTCTAATTGTCATAGGTATCTTCTTGCAAACCACATACGTTTTAACAGTGGTCATAATAAAATATCCTATGGGTGCCTAACTTTTTCTTTGTGTATTTATAATTATAATCTGTTAAAATATTTAAATTATTTTTCTCAATATAATACTAAAACAACAGATCTTCTGATCCACAGCAAAATGACATGCCTCAACTAAATGATTTAGATTTTTTATATAATCAACCATGATTTACTTAAAATAAATATACCTCTTTAATTTGGGTCAAAAATAAATTGTTCATTTCACTCTATTTTGTAAGTTAAATTGTTTTGTGGGATGACTATGTGTTGAAAATTTTGAATTCCACTGGCAACAAAGTCAGCAAAAAAGCTGACTTTTACTTAATCTTTCAAATTTTTTTCAACATTATAGAGCTTTATACATCAATAATCGAAATAACACATTACCCAATTCAATACTTTTATTCTGACCTACATCAAAGGCATTAGCTCCTATAAAGAAACATTAAGAGACATAAAATGCATAAATGACATTTTATCAAAAAAAAAATAAGATCTTAATCAATAAGAGTTGGATGTAAAATATAGGTTATTCAATATTATTTATTTCAAGATTCACATAAATACAAATAAAGTGACATTTTTATCTGTTTTTTTATATATGTACATTAATAATTAACAAAAACAATTCATTTTAAAAAAAACTCACAAAAATCCCCAGTTACACAATAGTTAATACAACTTAGACTTCCAGTTATTAATTTCAATGTAAATAATATATAATTATCAAAATTCTTAGATTATAAATTTATACCAAAGCTAGAATTTCACCAACAAAATCAAATACATGCAAAAAAAGAATGAATGACTTTTTAAAAATACCTATAAGGTATCTGTTAGGTATACTTAGCTTATCTTTTATGCTCACATTAATTTTGACACTTAAAGATACATTCCCGCATACAAAATGGGTGATTTGATGATATATTTGGACTAAAAACATATTCAAACTAATAAATCTATCAAAATTTTGCTTCACATCCTTCTCAAAACATTGTATTCACAAGGGAAAACCCCTGCTATAAAAATATATATCAAAAGAGGTCATGTTTGTGTCACATGACTTGGCTGACATGGTACCTAGCAACTGGTACGAAGAAGGAGGAGATTTCGTTGCATATACAAGATGATGTTGTCTTTAATCGCTGTCCATTTATTATAAATATCGAAGCCTAATTAAATTATTCAGTATTTTTCTAGTAAGATTTTTTGACTTTCCATATATACCAAAATTGCCATACTTTTATTGTAATAACCACCCAATAAATACTTTTGTGGAAAAGTATCTTTAACATTTTGGAACATGTTAGTTTTAATAAATAAGCGAATTATTGAAATAAGATTGTGTCGAGTGGACTTAAACCCCATTTCTCTCTCTCTCTCTTTAATAAATAGCGTAAGAAGAGAGAATTCAAAGTTTTAAAATGAAAATTACCAGCATATAGAAAAGGGTAAGATTCTTGCAAAGGTACTAATGTTAAGTCAAGGCATTATAATTAATATACTGTACACAATTTAACACTGACATTAAAATAATGCTATATATCAGTGAATAATCCCCACTATATATTTTAATACTATGGTACAAGAAGATTAATATACAATATAGATATTCAACTTGCCTTTATTGAACAAACAAGGCACAAGTTGCAAATGCCACTCATAGTCTTAACCTAAGTCAACACATCATCTATCATTTAAATAAAATTGTTCATCTGTGTCCATAAAATCCAGCTAAATTGGTCAAATTTACTTAAGAATTTTCAACCATTCCAGGCAAAATGATACAGACCATTACTGTCATTCATAAGATACATTTTTCTAAAAAATCTTGCATTGAGAAAAATTAGCATTAAATAAATCTGTTACTAATAAAACTTGATTATGGCCAGATTCGTTTAGGAGTGTCATTTCATTCATGTATTCCAATCTTTATATAAGTATATTAAGAAATAAAACTTTACATCTTGAATACCAACATATTTTGATTTTAAACAATACAATATATAAATAAGTTCTATAGATCTAATTTTTGTAGATATATCTTATTTCACAGGGAATGAACTTGAGGCTTGTCTAGATGCAACCCAGGCTGTAAACACATCTCTGAAATTGAAAATTTAGATATTTAAAATAAACATATCGAAAACTATCAGAGATATAAGAATAATTAACATTAGAAGAAAAAGGTATAACATACCGACAATGACTGACCACACATTCACTACTACAATATTCCTCATCCCAACCAGGATTATTGATAGCATTATTAGCACAACCATTGCGTATACACATACCAGGGCTTAATATTCTTCCACCATAATTATTCTGAAATAAAAATATGTAAAACATAATTAATAAACTCATATTAATATACCGTAGACATTTAAAATCACACCAAAAGTTGTTCAATAAGCCAAATATTTTCACATTTCATATTGCTATGTACTTCTTGTTCTGGGGCTTTACCACCTAGAGTGATATCGCAGAATATACTGCTATGGAATTCTCATCTAACTTAAGTAAACTTCTTGTACCTGTGTTGTCTTTTCCATTTACCAAAACGAAACAAATTCTTTATGAGCAGGACAATTGAAATAAAAGCAAAATTTGCTGAACATATATTATTTCAAACAGTAAGAAAATGGGGGGGGGGGGGGGGGAAATGCCCTCGATAAATAAATAATTGGAAACTAAAATAACACTCAATAATATGGAATTAAAGTTCCTTGGTAGTTTATTTCTGTCGACGTTTCGACCAGGGTTCTCTCATGTTTATCAAGCAAAGAAACAGTTCTTCTGAATAGGGCTTGGTAAAAAAAAAAAACATAATATATTGCAGTACACAAACCTGTTGTATGGGCTGAGGTTGATATGATAAACCATTATTATTATTATTGGTATATTGTGTATTCTGTATATGTTGTATTGACTGCTGTTGGTGTGGAGGACTGTAGTTGATCACCTGGGGTGGTGACATCTGCTCCATGGAATGAGCCATCATTTGAGAGTTATCTCCCATCCTTTGATTACTCTGTGGCATCTGCCGTGGTGACTGGTAGGGGGGTGACGGAGATTTGTCATTCATAGTGTTAGCCTCTTCAACAGCGGCCTTAATAAACAATATACATGCATGTTCATAAATCATCATCAGTATGAAATGAAATGATTCCAGTTGAAGTTCACACTGATTATTACCCAATGTGAATATGTTGGGTTCAATGTTTGCATTCACAATGCAGACAAAATGGATAAGTCCTTCTGGTAGCCCTGCAAAATGTCACAAGAACTCATAGAAGACTAATGACAGTGTTGTGATGTTATGTCAGCAAGCAACACAGACTTTAACATGAATTAAGGAATTGCTGCATCCATATCAAGTTGCTACCTGAACCTTTGACTCAAGATCCTACATATCAACCAAACTATATTAAAAATACTTTTCCAGACCATAATCAACTCTCGATGTCATTGCTAGTCTACGATATTTACTGGATTAGAATCAGATCTGCTGCTCAACGCTCATTGATGATTAAATCAAAAAATGGATAATCGGGACTATGTTTTTTATCGTACCAACTTTAGTAATGATGATCGAGGCTAGGCCTAAAGTTCAATCGCTAAATTCTCGGTTCAGTTTAGATCATTTTGACTGAAATTTTCAGCAAATTCCCATTACATTATCTAGTTTTTAATTATTATAGTGAGAACTGGCTGCTCTTTATCTAATCCCCAATATGAAGCCTCAGCCCAGAAAAATCATTCCACTTAAGTAAGTTTCTTGAAGAACTAAGAAGAGTGAATTCTGCTATTTCTTTTTACACAGGGTCAATAAGTGTTATGTTCGGAACACATTTAGGTCATCATCATGGATTATAACATCCAGATTTGAACTTGATTGTCATCTTGTGTATAAAGTAGTTTTACAAACTTACCAGTGATACCTGACTAGCTCTATAAGCTGCCAACTGTTTTAGATATTCTTTCTTTGCCATTTCCGTTTTCTTCTTGTAAACCTGTTTTAACGAAAAATGTATACTGATGAATAACTATTATGCATTAATTAAATTAAAGTTACTCATAAAATTTGTATGGAAGCTACTTATAATATCTCTAATGATAAGATATACTTACATTTTTGTGTTCTGGATCTAACCCATCCCACATAGAGGCTACGATTTTAGAAACTTCTCCAAAACTAGCACTGGGATTTTGTCCTTTAATAGCTGCTTGTGTATCTCGGAAAAATAAGGCATAAGCAGAAACTGGTCTAAAAAAAAAAATAAATGTAGTTTTCATTAAGAAGTATAGAATACTAAAACAATTTATATTTACAAAAAAAATAAAATAAATCAGAAGTGGTTCAGGTATCAGGTGTTCCAGAAAAAGTAAAGACTCCGGTCAATTTTACGAAAACTTGTATAACTTTTTAAAAAACTGATTATAAAACATGCATCAGAAAAATACATGAAATAAAATTATGATCCTAAAATTGTTTGCTATCTATGTTATTGAAGATGCACTTTCATCATCACCTCTTGAGAAAGCAGAAAGAAAGCAGCAATTTTAGCTTTTGGCTATCCATATCTACCAAAATATGTATTATTAATTAAAATGATATTTTGTTGGATGTATTGGTATTACACCATAATTTCGTTACACTGCAAATTTTACTGGAATAGTAAATAAGTTTCCATTAAACATATAATAAAGCAAGGGCTAAATCTATGTATTGCAGATCTTTCTTTAGGCCTGAAATAATGTTATCTAAATTATTAATTAGACATTAATTAACTTATCCAGACCATACTCAACTCTCAATGTCATTGCTAGCCTGCAATATTTACTGGATTTGAATACATTTTGTGATGGATGATTTAACATCAAAATTGATAATCAAGACTTTGTTTTATGTCATACCAACTTTAATAAGGATGATCAAGACTAGGCAAAAAAATAATATTGCTAATATCTTGGTTCAGAGTCAAGCAATTACGTTATCTATTTTCTAACTATTATAGCGAGAACCATCAACTCTTTATCTAATCTCCCATAATGCACCTTTAAGTTGCAGCGGTCATATTGTTACAGGAATTGAAAAGTTATGGGATTATCCAGTTGAATTTTTTCAATTAATTACTTTTTTGATGGTTGTCATATCGACAAAGACGATCGGGGGCTACAAGAAAACTGTGCCTCATGTGCAACAATGAACACCTATAACTAGTATAGAGTACAAAAATATCAGCTAGTTTAGATTTTTTGCTTACTTTTGTGGTTCATTGGGATCTTTTTTCTTCTTTCGTTTAGGTGTTTTCATCTTTTTGGTAGCAGGTGGAGCTGTGATGACTTCTGGTTCTGCTGGTGGAGAAGCTGTAAGAACTTGTCTAGGAGTACTAGTATTAACTAATGAAGAACTTGCTTCAAGGGCTGCTTGTCTCTTCAAGGATACCAACTAAAATAGAAAATACATACCAAAGTTTAACAAAATTAATATATAAAATTTAAGAAGGCATTCTTAATTGTAGTTAAGTAATACAAATCCATAAATAAATATTGCACTATTTCAAAAATAAAGTTGTCAATTACACAACATTTTGGATGATGATTTATTTCGTGGGACGACTTTCTCTCGGTTGAAAATATTACGTCTACAGATAAATTCAGTGTTGACAAGAAAACAAGCTAACATGCACTTAATCTGTCAACAAAACTTTAATCATATATAGCTTGTCCCATAACAAATAAAGTAACACCTCAGATCAACCCAATTTAAATCTTTATTTTGACCTAAATCGAAGAGGTTTATTTAGCGACTTGAAATTGATGGTCTTTAAAAACCGAACAAGATTGTCATGAATGGACAGGTTTAACAAAGCAAGCTGTAACTTTGGTGCCTCAGCAGCCTCACACAATAGTATAACAAATTAATACCTTTTACGTGGCAGCAATTATTTAGTAAGATAGGTTGCCAGGCAACGAAACATACGCCCACAGCAGCTAAATCGTCCGGGCAGTCAACAAGAGTTGTCGCATATTTTTACTTTTTTCGGTAATGAAACATTTATAATACACTAAAATCTGATTAAGAGCAACAACTCAGAAAACCATTAGAATTTGTTTGGTTTTTATAAAGTTCTGCCCCATGCTAACATTTTGTATACAAAACTTTTAATACTGTATCATGAATTTAGCTGCTCCAAGTCATAAAAATTCATTGAAAATCAATATACTTGTTCGTCTCAATATCTTAAACTCTGTGTATCAATCTGAAATCAATCGGATATTAACTTTGGCCTCTAGAGCGTCAACAAGATTTTTCAAAGTGATCAAGGGCCATAACTTTGGCAGTAATTATCAGAAATCTTTGAAGATCAATAGGATTCTTCGCCTCGTGACCTCAAACACTGTTTATAAATTTAAAGTCAATCAGATATTAACTTTCGCCTCTAGAGCATCCACAAGGTTTTTTGAAGTGATCAAGGGCCATAACTCTGGCAGTAATTATCGAAAATTGACTTCTTCGTCTCATGACCTTAAACAGTGTGTATAAATTTAAAGTCAATCGGATATTAACTTTAGACTCTAGAGCGTCCACAAGATTTTTTGAAGTGATCAAGGGCCCTAACTCTGGCAGTAATTATCGGAAATCACTGAAAATCAATAGGATTCTTCGTCTCATGACCTTAAACACTGTGTATAAATTTAAAGTCAATCGGATATTAACTTTGGCCTCTAGAGCGTCCACAAGATTTTTTGAAAGGATCAAGGGCCATAACTCTGGCAGTAATTATCGGAAATCGCTGAAAATCAATAGGCTTCTTTGTCTCATGGCCTTAAACACTGTACATAAATTTAAAGTCAATCGGATATTAACTTTAGCCTCTAGAGCGTCCACAAGCAATTGTGGATCGCCTGCCGGCCGGACGGGGGCGACGACAATATACGACCACATTTCAATGTGGGCGTATAAAAACAATTTGCAGGTTTAAATTCATGCAACTTATCTAAATTTACATTTGCCAGATAAAAGAACACCATATAGGTAATAACAAATACTCTAAATGTGTTGAATTTATTTTAAGAGGTATTCTTGTTTATTGGGTAACAAACAATCTCTGCTACATGAATTTTCATGGCAATTTCCACCCCACTTTAAAGTAAATTATCAATTTACTTTTTGCAATACCCAAATCCTGTCTGGAATGAAATTATTGTAGTGGTTTATGTTTTGTAGAACAAATCCCATTAGGATAATAAAAAAAAAGAAGATAAAAAAGAAGAAACTGTGGATCTAATGTTAACTATGATTAGAAAGTAGAAAATGTCCTTTCTAATAATAAAACGGTCTGTCAAACTATTCTATCTAACTGATATTAACTTGACAGGAAATCTCTCAAATAAATCTTGCCGTTCTTTTCCACAATACAGTGATTCACACGATTTTACAATGAATCAAGTTAATTTCCAAGGAAAAACATCTTCTAGGAGGACAATGTCATTTTGTAAATTGGTTTTTCTTTAAGGTCTGTAAAAATCAATGGTTGGTCTATTTAAGTGTAGCAGCCAATCAAAAGAGTGCCGACTAGAATTACCATCACTGCTACTAGACGATGTGGAAAAGTCAGTAAAGTTTACCGTATATTGTAAGTTCACATCCCCATATTCCCTCTGGGTATCATAAAACAATGAAACACTTCAAGATTATTAGAAGAAATAGATTTAAATCTGGTTATAAATTGATTTTTTCAAATTTTATATTTTAGCTGAATAAATGCAAAGTGGCCTGTCTATTCTTCCTAAACTGATTTATAGGATAACTGTTGTATTGCCTATCTCAATCTAATAATATTCAAGTCTTGTTTATCTTTCAGTATTTATCATTGATGTAGCAGCATCTTAAAATTTTCAACCAGGAACTGGTTCTGTACAATTGGTAAATTTGTTGTTGTTCTTGGGGTGACTCTTTGAAAAAAGCCTAAGGCTCCGACAATTCCAATGCGATCAACATGAATCTTGGCATGCTTGTTCTTTGGACAATTATGCACTGATCGACAGAATTTGATTTTTAAAATATTTTCAGAATTCCAAGATGGTTGCAATAGCATAATGGTGGGTTCCTGGTTCATAGTGTTTATAATAATTTAGAATTCAACAGTTTTAATGGAAGTCAGTTGTCCCTATCACAAATCACAACTTTTTACAAATAACTGTATTTTCATACATTTTATACAGGATTATACAGATAGTTCTGTGGATAATAAAGATATTTGAAAAGGGCACATAATAAATTTTGATTATAGTTCTTCACAAAAAAGCCTGGCCTACTTCTTTTCTTTCTAAATCATCAGTACACAATTCTGATTGAATAAAAAGAATAACTGTACATTTGTATGCCAGACAAAGGTCAATCACCTATAAAACCTTTCACTTGTCTCTCGAGAAACAATTTAATTTTTTTCTTTTATTGCTTTTTCCTTTATTATGGCGTAGTACTGTAAATGATAGCTTTAAATGACTTGGACATTTAAATGGCAAACAGCTTTAGTCCCCAGTAATACTTCTTTCAGATAAATTTCTAGTTCACTGAATCTGTCCTCAACTTGTCTTGAAAACTTGGTCATGCTTTTCGACTTCTGTTAAGTTTTAAACTTTTCTCAATGATACCTCCCCAGTTTGATGGACTTATGGGAGGAGGTTTCACAGTCAAAATATTTCTGTATTTCAGTCCTAACATACATAATGGAATAATTTGTTTTTGACACTTCTATTGAAGTATTTATTAAAGAAATTGTGACAATGAAGTCACTGTGTAGAAATTAGGACAGTTTACACATGAATGCCAATTTTTTTTATTGTACTTTATTATTAAGTCTTTTTAAAACCCCAGGATTTAAAGAAATTAGGCTACAACTGAGATTGTGAATTGAAACCCTAGTACCCATTAAACTCTTTTTAGGAGAGACAAGATAGAGAAAACAATACAAATCGAAAGTAGAAGTGCTTATTGCTGACCCTGAACTTAAGTGCAGACATTTCCATTTTGTTAATGAGTGTCATGATGTCATCAAGTTTAAAGGAAATTTCAGTTATTTACAAAATAGTATCTCACCTGAGCTAGTGGTAGACTATCATCACTGTCTTCACTTGTACTTTCACGATTAGGAGAAACTGAAGTAGAATTAGACCCCATTGGAGATCCTTGGTTCATTCCTTGGATAATGCCAGGATTAATTCCTTGGGTAATTCCAGGATTTATTCCTGGGTTTATTCCATGAGTTTGAAATCCTAATTGATTGGTAATCTGACTATGACAGATAGTTGATAATGGTTGATGCTGGCCGGAGGTCGCCATCTGACCTTGACTTGATTGTCCTTGAAACATTCCACTTGTTGTCATAGCAATATTTTGAAATATATTACTGTTACCATAATTGGTATTATTTCCTTGGAATGCATTTGTCATATTAATGTCTGGGTCATAGAAGTTCTGTGGAGGAAATTTTGGGGCTACATTATTAGGGTTTCCAATATTTGTAAACACATTGGATTCTCTTGTTTGCATATTTGATGCCATAGTAACTTGATGAGAATTCTCCATATTTGTTATTTGTTGATGAGAGAGAGGTTGTGTCTGTGTATTGAACATATCATGATCTGTAGAAACCCCATGGCCTTGTGGTTGTTCTGATGGCAAAATCAGAGGAACTTGGAGCAAATCAAAATCTTCATCACCAAAACTTGGTACCTGAAATCCCTGAAACGACAAAAACATAAAATCTTAGAGTATTCAGACATTCAAAGAAATTTGTAGCAAATCTTTTTTTCCATCAAAGTTCTTTTCAGTATTTTTAAGAATAATGTATATATTCATTTACATATTGAAATGAAATAAAATGGGGTTTAATGCAGTCCTAGCAAATCTTTTTTTCCTTGAAAGTTCTTTTCAGTATTTTTAAGAATAATATAATGACATACCGGGTATCGTTTCGTTATTGGAAAGAAATGAAATGAAATGGGGTTTAAAGTCCTACTGTTCTGCTTTAGCTGGGCTAATGAAGACGGGCATACGCCATACAGTGTGCTGTGAGGGAAATTTTGCCTGGACAGCAGCAGTAGGGCCTACTCTTATATCGATCTTTTACGTGCATGCCAATGTGTACACCGAACCTTGAATTTTTGTCCCATCCAAATGACTAGACAGCTGTCCTTTTCAGGCCCTCCGTCAGGCACCACTGACAAGTGGAAACGATGCTGGATAACCGTAGGCCCCTCATTTTTATATTGTAATTTCTGTTCTTAACAAGCCAACAGTGAGGCTGATGTCCCCCCGCCAAAAAAGATGACACATATTATTTAATTGCATGTTTAACTTCTTCCAAAATACCGAGCAATCAAACTGATTATCAACTATACACTAAGTTTCATCACTCTCCATCAAATAGAATCAAACTCAAAGAAATTGCTTAGCACTGCTTAGCTTTAGCGAGAAATGTTAATCATTGAACTCAGTCAAGACATTCACAATGAACATCAACATCAAGTTTAATTATTTTGCCTCAATTAAAAGCAGAGTTATGTTCCAAAGTCTTGACCAATCAAATTTCTTATCGCTCCTTAGCCTAAGCAGAAAATTCTCATCAAATTTAGTCAAGGTAATGATATAATGAATCTATACTCAGAGTTTCATAGCTCCCACTTAATTATAACCAAAGTTATCGTGCCCAAAAGCATCAACCAATCAAATTGCTTATCTCTGCTTACCGTAAGCAGACAATGTTCATCATCAAACTCCATCAAGACATTCACCTAATGAACACCAAGTTTGAACATTCTACCTCAATTAATAATGAGAGTTATTGTGTTCCAAAGTCTCGCCTAATCAAATTGCTTATCGCTCTGCTTGTACCCTCAGCAGAAAATGTTCATTGTCAAACTTAGTCAAGCTATTGATGTGATGAAACTAACACCAAGTTTCATCACTCTCATTTAATTAGAACTAAAGTTATCCTGTCCCAAAGCATCAACCAATCAAAACTGCTTATCCTTGCTTACCCATAGTAGAAAATGCTCATCTTTGAACTCCATCAAGGCATAGACCTAATAAACACCTACACCAGATTTGAACATTCTAGATCAGTTAGAAGAAGAGTTATCGTGTCCCAAAATGTGTGACGGACAGACAGACAGGCGGACGAACGAACCCATTTTAATAGTCCCCTAAGGTGGGGGACAAAAATATTCTTTTTTCTTCACTGTTTTCAAGCAACTTTTTTTCTTTTTAAATCATTGTAAAAATGTATATCAGTAGGCTATTGAAAAATATAATGCTTTAATACAAAACAGTTATATTATGCAAATACATGTATATCCTCTCATAATTTGAATAAATAAAAATATTTTTAGAATAAGAACATGATTTTTTCTTCTTTTCGATTTTTTTTTATAAAACTTGGTGTAATGCATTTGACTTTTGGTGTAATATTTTTAGATAAAAATTATTTGCATAATATAACAGTGTATAGCTGTGACTTATCAGATCATAGCATATTAACCAGCTGCCTTGTTCAAGTCTGGCATTATCTAAACTATAAACCCCAAACAATCCAGTTCTCCATTATATTCACTGCTTTAGACAGCCTGCTGAGACAGGGAAAATAATGTTTTGGCAAAGTGTGAAACATTTGCAGGTGTTAATTATAAACATTAATTCGCACCTCAGTTATCCACAATATCACTAATCTATTGGAAAAAATTTTAGAGTGGATCACTTCACATGCTCTAACTATTTGCTAACATTTAAAATAGCATGCACTCTAGTGCTAATCTCTAATTATTCATATTACTCTTAATGAAATATTTACAAGTGGTTCTAAAAATGGCCTACATATTAAACAAACTTTTGTTAAGATAAATTAACTTGAGAGATGTCTCCTTTATATGTATTTTTTTGTGGAGGAAATATGGTTAACTGAACAAATGCGAAAATCAATTATTTAGACATCAGGGTTAAAAAAACAAAGGCCAGCAAGAGACACTGACTGACGCTACTTAATCAAATCAGTTAATTGACAAAAAAAAAAAAAAAATGACAACACAATCATTTTTTTCTTTAAAGAGAAAGTTAATGAAGTATCAAATATTGATATTTTTGACAAAAACAATTGTGTAATATGAATCATCTTATTTTAGTTTTCAGAAGTTCTTTCGGATGCCTATATCATGAGAACAACATCATTGATGTAAATTTTAATTCTACTACCACATGAAACAAAGAAACCACTATTAAAACCAAAACATAAGGTGCGTCGCAGAAGACTCAATATTCATTCATTGCATAGCTTCTTCTAAGCTTTATTACAATATGTGAAGCCTTAATACAATATGTAAAGTGAAGCTTCATTACAATATGTGAAACGTTATTACAATATGTGAAATGTTATTACAATATATGAAGCTTTATTACAATATGTGAATATGAAGATAGGTTAAGAGTAAACAAGCCATTAAAAATTTTAAGTGCTATGCTGAAACCACTATTACAATAAAACAAAAACTAGTGTAATAAAAGATATGCAATGAAAAGGTTGTTGCATTGTGAATCAAAAGTGAAAACTTTATTCTGTATAATACTAGTTTATTGACAAGATTGTAATCAAATGTTATATGAATCATTAAGACATTTATTCACATGCCAAGTTCATAATCAGTCAAAATGTGAAAAGTAAGAAAACTGTACAAAACGCATGCGACATCTATTATTCAAATTTAACAGGGTTCTTTCTTATGCAACAATGATCAGACTTACAGTTACACAGCTTAACTTTGCCTTCTATCACATTTACATGATTTCATAAGATGAAAGTAAAGTGGTGGATAACTTCAAAATATGCAGTCCAGACGAAAACACCAGCTAGTTTGGTTAATATAGGTATACAAAGACAACAATCTCCTAAGTGAGGAAACACAGAAGCAAATCTACTATACGGAAACAACAATTCAATGGAACCCTCCGAGGTTGAAATATGGTGTACCACCCTCAAGCTTAATGAATATTAATTAGTTGAGTTTCCCTATTGACAAATGCTCATTGGATAAACAGTTAAAGTACGCAAAATTTAAATCGACATAATTATAATACAACATACATGTAAACCTGACTAAATCGTAATACATGTACAACTTTCCTAAACAATTGACTATCCAAAATATGTTACACATACATAATTAAATCTGATTAACTTAGAAGAAGATTGCTATCTTGGTCTATAGAAACACGGATTGGAAACAATGCATCTATTGACAGGTTACAAAAATATTCTGAATTCCAGTAGGGTCCCTACTCCCTTCCTTATACCTACCGAGTTTGAATTGATACCATTGAGACCATTCATGAATTTGGAAGAGTCAGATAACTCCAAAATATACCCCCCCCCCCCCCCCCCGCAAAAAAAGTGTTCAATAAGTATGAATGAATTCCATTTGATAATTTTTTAATTTCAAGAGGGTTCTTCTTTACGACTAAATGAACAATTCAACAAGAACTGTTGTATGTATAGCATTCACACAAAATGTTGGACGGACCAATTGACACAGAAAATATACGTCTATATTAAATGTGGACTTAAAAGGGCAAATGATAATGATTTATTAGTATTGTGACATCTGATCATATCCTTGTAATATTAAGTAGTATTTTAATATGGGACAATACTACTAGTAGATAATATAGCTATCAGATTGTAGGACTTCTGGTTAATTATTCAACTAATATTATCTGTCCATCCCAGGGGGCACATTATAAATGACCCATAAAATAGCAGGTATTTAAACCAAGGGTGCAGATGGAAAATATAAAGTGTGCCAAGTAGAATAATTTATGAGCCAATTTAACCCTAATAAAACTGATTTAACTAACATTTTATAGCTCAATTTTTTATAACAATCTGAACAAATATTATGTTTATCTTTATCTCCATTTCATGACTGGCCTCATTGTTGGACTGTCTTGGAAAATGAATCATCCAAGATGAAGGATAGATGAATATTCTATACTGCAATTTTATCAAAACAATCAGATATATCAACATATCTACTGAAGGTGTGAAATCAAATTCTTACTACCAGAAGTATCATTTTCTTTCTATTAGTACAATCTATTCCTCTAAGTATAAATGTTAAAAAGATGTAGACAACAATTAAAAAAAAATATTTAGTTTACTTAATTTCTAAAATATAAAATTACAAGCATTTGTATTACACCTATCAAATACAATATACAATACATATCATCAAAATAATGACCATCAAATAGCATCAATATTAGAAACCATCAATGAAGGGAACGTGATTAATTATCTAATAATAACCAGGCTCTTTTACATAAATGCTATGATTAATAGCCTTGTGTTTAAGGGAAATCTATTCTCATGTCAAAATGAAATCCATTTCATCAGTTAATGAGTTTTGGATGAAATTATTAACCAATAATTCTTGGTCATTATTGCATTGATTTTCTCAGGATCAACCACTGAATACTTGAAGCCAACAAAATGCAAAACAAATCTTACAAATACACTCATTAATCTTAAAACTTCATATCTTTAGTCAATATGGGACACTTTTGAGAAATGATAAACAGAAATTTAATATCTCCATCTTTTAAGTTTACATTTTAACACTATTAATCGTGATTTTTATGCAAATCTTGACTCCTGAGAAGTCAGGTATCTAGAACAGAGCAACATTTATTTTATA